CATCATCACTGTTATCATCAGAACCATCACCTTCACCTCCTTTATCATCATCACTGTCATCATCAGGACCATCACCTTCACCTCCTTTATCATCATCACTGTTATCATCAGGACCATCATCTTCATCATCCTCACCATCATAATCCTTCCCATTTTTTATTGTTCTCCAGTTACAGAGCATTTCCTCATCCCTTATCTCCTTTGACCACACAATAGGATTATGAATTAAGCAGGGCAGATATAATTTTTACCATTTAACATACAAAAAAAAAAAAAAGGATGATCAAGAAAAGTGAAATGATGTTCCCTGATTCACATGGCTAATGAAGGGGGTGGTAAAATTTGAAACTGAGTTCTTTGACTCTGAGTCTGATGGTCATAGCCAGAAACTACAATATATCTGGCAGAGTTGCCAGGAGTGCAGTGGAAGGGCCATGGAAAACTTGGATTCTTTTAGTCAAAGTAGAACCAACTCTGGAGGTGTTGACTCTATGGATTGTGTATATGTGGGGGTGGGGCTGGAATGAGGAGGGATGACCCCATTGTTTGGCCTGAGCAATATCATTCACAATCCTCTGATATACACAGGTGACATGGGGATAATTCTGGCTCACTGAGCTAGAACTCAGACCCCGGAAGTTATCTGGTTCCATCCATTGATGGACACAGCATGGAGGGGAGTTGTTTTCTAACTCAAGAAGGAAGAAGGAGGGTGGAGTTCTGACTGAATGTGGAGGAAAGCAGGACAGAAAGATTCTCATGGTGCCGGTTCCCTTATGGCCTTAGGCTGGGCCTAAGTATACATGGTTGGAGAAGGAAGGAGCAGAAACGGCAAGAACTATTTGCCCTGAGAGATGTAGTGAGATTTGGGGCAGAGGACGAGCACCAGAAGCTGATGGAGCTCTTTGAGAATGTTTCTGGGAAGCTCTGAACATAAGCAGTGCTACTGTGGGGCTCTGGTGACAAAGGGTGGCCCAGTGAGGGAGATGGCCACTCTCTTTTCCGTGCTCTTGCTATACAAGAGCAATTTTCTTGAATCTTTTGGCAAGGTCCTTGACGTTCCCGTGATGGACAGTGGTAGCAGCTTTCCAGACAGAGGAACAAGATGAATGGGAGAAGGAGCCAGGAAGTAAAGGGCCGATGTCACACGGTGACTGCAGCTGACAGACTGGATTGTGGATGCATGGGAGGCATCCATGGACCAGACAGGGCTTCTGGAGGCCCTATGCCTCCAATGGGTAAAAAGACTACTAGCTATTCCCCTGCACTTGCCCCAAATATAATTAAAAATAAAAAAGAAGTATAAGGAAGTCAACAAAATCTTAATTTTTCATGGTAACTTCTTTAATACTTTTTTGAAATATCATGTATCATTAAAAAAAAAAAAAAAGTTTTGGTGCCCCTGTTTGCTGGTATAGTCCAAATATCCCAGGCATCACTAGCTTGGAATGTCAAAATAAGGACACGTTTTTACTGAGTGATCCAGCACCAGGGAACCCTTTGAAGACTTTGAAGTAGTAGGTAATTTTGGGGAACCTGGTTTTTGAAATCGAAGTTCTGGATTTTGTGAATCTTAATTTGCATATAAAAAGGAAGAGTGAATTATTTCCTGAACTAACAATATTTAATTATATTTTATATATTTACATATACTTATATATATTTTATATATTTAATTATATTTTATTGATTAAAGTATTGTAATAATATGTACAAAGACCTGGAGTTAGAAAACCAAAAGTGAAAAACACGACAGGCATTTCTCAGGTTGAAAGAACTGAAGAAAATATTCAAGCCTCAAGTTGCAACATTGAAGGAGTCTACGGGGAAAATATTAAGTGACTCAGGAAGCATCAAAAGAAGATGGAAGAAATACACAGTCACTGCACCAAAAAGAATTGGTTGACGTTCAACCATTTCAGGAGGTAGTATATGATCAAGAACTGATGCTACGAAAGGAAGAAGTCCAAACTGCACTAAAGGCATTGGCAAAAAACAAGGCTCCAGGAATTGATGGAATACCAATTGAGATGTTTCAACAAACGGATACAGCGCTAGAAGTGTTCACTTGTGTATGCCAAGAAATTTGGAAGACAGTTCCCTGGCCAACCGACTAGAAGAGATCCATATTTACGCTGATTCCAAAGAAAGGTGATTACAGCAAGTGCGGAAATTATCTAACAATATCATTACTATCACAAGCAAGTAAAATTTTGCTGAAGATCATTGAAAGTGGCTGCAGCAGTAAATTGACAGGCAACTGCCAGAAACTCAAGCTGGATTCAGAAGAGGATGTGGATCCAGGGCTATCACTGTTGAAGTCAAATGGATCTTGCCTGAAAGCAGAGAATACCAGAAAGACTTTACCTGTGATTTTTGACTATGCAAAGGCATTCAACTGTGCGGAGCATAATAAATTATGGATACCATTATGAAGAATGGGAATCTCAGAACACTTAATTGTGCTCATAAGGAACCTGTACATAGATCAAGAGGCAGTTGTTCTAACAGAACAAGGGGATACTGCATGGTTTAAAGTCGGGAAAGGTGTGCTTCTGGGTTGTATCCTTTTACTTAATCTGTATGCTGAACAAATAATCCAAGAAGGTGGAGTATGTGAAGAAGAACACGACACCAGGATTGGAGGGAGACTCATTAATAACCTGTGATATGCAGATGACCCAACCTTGCTTGCTGAAAGTGAAGAGAACTTGAAGCACTTACTGATGAAGACCAAAGACTACAGCCTTCAGTATGGGTTACACCTCAACATAAAGAAAACAAAAATCCTCACAACTGGACCAATAAGCAACATCTTGATAAATGGAGAAAAGATTGAAGTAGTCAAGGATTTCATTTTACTCGGGTCTACAATCAACACCCATGGAAATAACAGTCAAGAAATCAAACAACGCATTGCATTGGGCAAATCTGCTGCAAAAGACCTCTTTAAAGTGTTCAAAAGCAAAGATGTCAGCTTGAAGACTAAGGTGTGCCTGACCCAAGCCATGATATTTTCAATCGCCTCATATGCATGTAAAAACTGGACAACGAATAAGGAAGACTGAAGAAGACGTGATGCCTTCGAATTATGGTGAAGAATATTGAATGTACCACGGACTGCCAAAAGAATGAAAAAATCTGTCTTGGAAGAAGTAGAGCCAGAATGCTCATTAGAAGCAAGGATGGCGAGACTTTGTCTCAGATACTTCGGACATGTTAACAGGAGGGACCAGTCCCTGGAGAAAGACATCATGTTCGGTAAAGTAGAGTGTCATCGAAAAAGAGGAAGACCCTCAACTAGAGGGATTGACACAGTGGCTGCAACAATGGGCTCGAGCATAACAACAATTGTGAGGATTGTGCAGGACTGGGCAATGTTTCATTCTGTTGTACACGGGGTTGTTATGAGTCGGAACCAACTTGACAACACCTAACAACAACAACTATATTTTGGGGGTAACAAAATAGTTAATGAGGGAAAATTATTTTTTAATAGAAAATTCCATCTACTAAATACAGAAGGTGTGATAGAATTGGAAAAATCTCTATTTTTTCCAGCCTAATGGAAGTGAATCTAGGCAATGGATCAAGCTGAACCACCTGAACAGCTGGTCCGTTTTAACCTTTCTAATAGGAGGACGCCAGACCTTCTGTGTCTTCTGCTATGATGCAACAGGAAATACCTTATATCACCTATTAAGTATTTCTGCCAAATATCTTTAATTCTGAATTTCATTAAGCCTCTGGACATAAATACAGGTTTAATAGGAAATACAGATAATGAAGGATGGTATTAGACTATACCACAGGGATGTAATCAGTCAAACTCAGAGTGTGGGAAATTCTACCAGACAAATAACTCAGTTTCTTCAACAAATAAATAGCATAAAAATGCGGAGAAGGGGAATCTGTTACAGATTAAAAAGACACTCAAGAGGTATATGAGATTTATCCTTCAAATGCAATGTGTGGACCTTGTTTGGCTCTTAATTCAAACAAACCCACTGCAAAAACTTATTTTTGAATCATTAAGGAAATTTGAATACAGATCGGGTATTATTAAATGCCATTAAGGGATTATTGCAGTCCTGGTGGCACAGTGGTTAAGAGCTCAGCTGCTAACCAAAAGGTTGGCGGTTTGAATCCACCATCTGCTCCTTGGAAACCCTATGGGGCAGTTCTATGACGGTTGTCATGAGTCGTAATCAACTTGAGGGCAACAGGTTTGGTTTTGGGGTTTTGGTGGTAACTATGATTTTTTTAAAAAGGGCTTCTCTGGAAGAGGTACATAATGAAGCATCTATAGATGTAATGATATGATGTTTGGATTTGCTTTAAATACTCCAGCAAAAAACAACAGCAACGATAATACAACATGGAAGAGAAGGAGAGATGAACAAAAATGTTGATAACGCTTGAAGCTGGGTGATGGGTACTTGGGGGTTGCCCATGCCCTTGTCTGTACTTTCACTATGTTTGAAAACTTCTGTAATGAAGCTCCTAGGCTAGCAAGTCCTAGGACATTTGGATTCTACATGCAGAGAGATTTCACTTGGCGCTCTTTTTCCTCTTTTTAAGGCTTCATCTCCTTTGGGAAGAAGAAGTCTCAAGGCATGGAATTGAAAACGCTTCAGTGCTTCGAGTGATGCTGAGGTTCCAAAGAACAAGGCTTATATTCGTACTATTTGTGAGCTTGCTCTACTGTGTGGCGAGTGTATCAGGGCCAGTAAGTGGCAGACTTGGTGAGATCTGGGGGATTCCAGGCTTTGGAGATTAGAACAGAACTTGTGGCACATTTAAGTCTGTACCAGGAGCTGGTGATGTATTCGTCTCTTGGTTGCTGTCCATTAAGTGAGGGCTTTGGGGGACTTAGAGCATCATAGTTAGGGGTGTGGGCTCTGTAGCCACAGCTTGGCTTTCAAACTTGGCCTGTCACTTAATTGCTGGGTGACTTTGGACAATTTAATTACCCTGTCTGTGCCTCAGTTTCCTCGAGGAACCTCATGGATGCTGTCAGGGGTAGACCTCATGGAAACCCGCATGTGTAAAATGGAGATAATAACTTCATCTGCCTCTTTTGTTTCACCATTTGCTGTTGAGTCAATTCTGACTCGTGGTGACCCTATGTGTGTCAGAGTAGAACTGTGCTCCATAGGGTTTTCAATTGATTTTTCAGAAGATCACCCAGCTTTCTTCCAAGGTGCCTCTGGGTAGAGTCAAACCTCCGACCTCTCATTTAGCAGCCAAGTGGGTTAGCTGTCGGCACCCCCCAGGGACTCCTGTCTACTTCGCAGGGTGAAGTTAAAGGAGACGAAGTATTTGAAGCGCTTGGGACACAGAGCAGTGGTGGCTCGGTAGTGGAACTCTCCCCGTCTGTGTGGGAGACCTGGGTTTGATTCACGGCCTATGCACCTCGTGTGTGGCCCCCACACATCTGCCAGGGAAGGCTTGCGTGTTGCTATGATGCTGAACAGATTTCAGCAGCGCTTGCAGCCTAAGATGGGGTAGGAAGAAAGACTTGGAGATCTACTTCCAAAAAATCAGCTGATTAAAACCCTATGGATAACAACAGTCCAATCCGCAGCAGATCATGGGGATGACACAGGACTGGGCAGCTTTTTGTTCCATTGTGCAAGGGGTCCACCCTGAACTGGGGGCCAACTTGACGGCAGCTAACAAAATCAACAAGAACATGGCCTGGCTCAATACATCTTAGCTGCTTTGAGAAATGGCCAAGCAGTTCTGGGGCTGTAGTTGACAGAAACTAATGGATGGTCTCATGTACCATGCTTGGAAGAATTGACTCTGTTTCCTATTCTCCAGTTCTTCAGTCCAAGATTTTGATTTCAGAGGGTGAGTCTGATTGGCCCAGCTGGGGTCACATGATCACCCCTGGGCCAGAGGAGGGTGGGGCACATTGATTGGCATTCCAGCCTAGACTTCATGCAGTGGGTAGGGGGAATGCCTCCGGAACAAAACTAAGAGGTTGTTACCAGCCAAGGGGAGAAGAATGTAGGGCAGAAGAAACACCATTGATGACCACCACAGAGATAACTCACCTGACTTAGGAGAGTTGGTATGCTGGGTGGTTTCCCTTTGTCCCTCCAGATCTCTCTCCACCATTAGCCACTCTCCTTGTTTCCCCATATCCTGACCTAGATGGATCCCATCAATGGGCCCTGCCCTCTAGTTGGGTTTGATCAATGGGAGCCTCCAACAGGAGACTGGAAGAATGGAGAAGAGTGAGGTCAGGATATTTGTTTCCTGGCTGCCTCTCAGTCATCGGAGATTGGTGACCTCTGTTCCTCTCAGGGTCCTCTCGAGTGACTCTCTCCTTCTGAGTTCCAGTAACCTGGCCTTTCCATCTCCCCTTCAGCCTAGGGTGGTAACAGCTCCTTGCCGTTGCTAGTTCCAGGGTGCTTACCCACCCCTTGTTGGAGTTTCTAAATTTGCCTGCACCTTTGTAAGTGTCACTTTACCAACCCTCCTGTGTTATCCAGTTTGTGTGCCTTCTCTTTCCTGCCTGGACAAGCTACTGGGTGACAAAGCTGGGACTCAGATCTGAGCCAACTAAACTCCCACATCTTCTCCAACTAGACCGTGTCCTTGAGGGCTCCCGACATTAATTTGAGGACCTCACACACAGCCCATGTGTGATACTTGTTGACTGAAAGAAGGATTGGGAAGTGTGAATGGTCTAAACTCCATTTTTCCTTTTAGTTGCTGATTATACCAAAGATCCTGGAATATTCTGAAGAGCAGTCGGGGAACATTGTCTATGGAGTGGGACTCTGCTTTGCCCTTTTTCTCACCGAGTGTTTGAAGTCTCTGGCTCTGTGTTCATGTTGGGTCATCAACCAGCACACAGGCATGAGATATCGTACAGCTGTTTCTTCACTTGCCTTTGAGAAGCTGATTCAATTTAAGTCTCTGAAACACATCTCCACGGGAGAGGTAAGTGAGTGGAATTGCTTATCCCAGCCATTGTTGCCCTCCTCTCCTTCAGACGTCACTGCTTTTGGGGGCAAGGGAGGAAGAAAAGAGGTTAGGAAAGGAGAAGGAAAGAAAAAGGAAATAATTCTCAGGGTGCAAAAACCGTGTGGCATCAGAGGTCCTCTGACTTCACAAGGTGAGAGGAGAATCAAGATCAACATCAGCACAAGGCTGATTCCTATGAGGTGGAGGCCAGACATACACCATTCTCCAAACTTTTTACCAGTTCTGACATCAGCCATCCCTCCTATGGCACCCTCTACATCTCTGCTGGGTTCGATAATTCGTTGCAATGGCCACACAGAACGCACAGAGCAGACTCACGATTATGGGGTTTATTAGGGAAGTAACAGGTTACAATTCAGGATCAGAATCAACTTGGAGTTAATAGGAACAACTCAGGTTACACTTCTCTGATCAGGACAGCTTCTTCAGCCATGCTCACAGGCAGGCCTTTGCTGCTGGGACCTGCTCAGGCCTGGCCTCTCTTTCTCAACCTGGGCCCTTGATGTTGGACTCTGCCCTGCTCTAGCAAGTTTTACAGCTCTTTGTTTAGCTCTGCCAACAAGTGCCCAGAAGCACTCTGCCAGGAAGCCTCCTGTCTGAAGGTACTCAGCCCTCTCGGTTCATGGGTCAGCAAGCTCACTATAGCTGCCTCGCTCTGTGGGCTGGGTAACACACTGCGTCATCTCTTGCCAGTCTCCTGGTTCTGCTGCCGCCTTGTCTCTGATGCTGGACTCTGTTGTGCTTGCCGCTGCTTCTTGACATCTCGTGTTGTTTCCTGGGTCTAGGACGTTCTCAGCACAGGGACTCTGGGTCCAGAGGACAAGCTCTGCTCCTGGATCTTCCTCTGGATGGTAGTGAGGCTCCCCTCCCCCTGCCAACCTCTGGAATAGGCTGCCTTTAAACCCAGTGTGTTGGTAAAACTGACCAATTCCCTACGAGGGTTCCATGTACCTTATTTGCATTAGCAGGCTGCCCAATTACCTTGGTGGGCCACAAACACCTTATTTGCATAGTCCCACCTAATCATCTTGTGGGAATTACACAGCCACGCCTAGAAGGGTCATATAATAGTAATTTAGTGCCCTGCACAGGGTGAGTGTTGCTAAGCACCAACAATTGCCTCTGAGGTCTTGTCTTAGTTTTCTAGTGCTGCTGTAACACAAATACCACAAATGGGTGTTTTTAAAGAACAGAAATTTATTTTCTCACAGTTCTGGAGGCTAAAAGTACAAATGAAGGTCTTGGCCATGCCAATTCCTTCCTTGTAGGTAGACTCAGGCATTCTTTGATTCTTTGGCTTGTAGACCGTCCTCACGTGGTGTCTGTCCCCCTCCCACTCCCACTGCCGTCTGTGTGTGCTTCCTTGCTTCTGTGCCTGATCTGCTCCTTTTGTATCTCAGTAGTGATTGGCTTAAAACACACCTTACACTGATATGAAGAAGCCCTGGTGATGCAATGATGAAGAGCTTTGCTGCCAACTGAAAGGTCAAAGGTTTGAAGCCGCCAGCCCTTCCATGGGACATAGATGTGGCAGTCTGCTTCTGTAAAGATTGCAGCCTTGGAAACCCTATGGGACAGTTCTACTCTGTCCCATAGGGCTGTGATAAGTCAGAATCGACCCCATGGCAATGGGTTTTTGTTTACACGGATATGGCCTCATTTACATAACAAAGAAAACCCTATTCCCAAACAGGATTACATCCACAGGTACGGGGGTTAGGATTTATAACACATATTTTGGGGGAACATAATTCAATCGATTGCAGCTTCCTCCCAGTCAGACTGGGCTAACCTCCAGTTCCCAAACACACCAGGCATGTCCACCTTCTTGGGACTTTTACAATCCCATTCATCCTTCAAGGCTCACTTTAAAGGTTTATTATAAAAATACATGTATATTCACATGCAAATTGCCCGTAGAAAACGTACTGTATTTTTTTGCATGTATTTTTACATAAACGATACTACCTTTTTATAGAGTGTTCTGCAACTTGGTTCCACAAGCAGAAAATATACAATAGATCTTCTTGGGTGAGTTTCCAAATTAATGGTACTACATGATTTCTGTGGTTTTGCCACTCCCTCCCGCTCCCCATTATATCTTAGCTTCCATGTTAATGCATATGGATCTTCCTCCTTCTCTTTCATGGATGCTTGATCATAATTATAGTGACTATTTATTGAATCCTTTCCATGTGCCCAAACAGTGCTTTATACGCATGGCTTTACCCAGCTCTCACTATCACACTGTGAAGTGGATCGTAGAGTTACTCCCATCTACTAATGACATGACCGAAGCATGGAGAGACCACGTATCTTTTCTGTGGCTCCACAGCTAGCAAACGACAGCCTGGGACATGAACTCTGATAGCTTAGCTCCAGGACCAATAGTTCAATTTCAAAATTGTCTCAAAAACCATACTTCTTCAGCGGATTTTATAACTTTTCCTCACCGGGGGACATTTGAGATGTTCCTGGTGTTTTGCTGTTACAAGCACTGCTGCACTGAACATCCTTGGACATGTGTCCTCCAGCGCATGTGAATGCGTCTCAACAGAGAGGTGGAGTTGCCAGGTCCTAGGGTTTGCAGGGACCCTGGTGGAGCAGTGGTTAAGAACTTGGCTGCTAATCAAATTGTCGGCAGTTTGAATCCATGAGCTGCTCCTTGGAGACCCTATGGGGCAGTTCTACTCTGTTCTATAGAGTTGCTATGAGTCAGAACTGACTGGACGGCAATGGGTTTCAGGTTTGGGTTTGCACAATTTTTAATTTTAGAAGATACTGTCAAATTGCCCTCCAAAGTGACCATACCAATTTATGCTCCCTAACGCACTCTAAAAATTTTTAAAGGCTCAGGCTGGGGACATCCTGGGAACTGGAATGAGATCGGGTGAAAATTAATAGGAAATCACTTGTTAAAGACTTCAGACTGCTAATTCTAAAAGACATAAATGAGTGCGTAGCTTAAATTTAAGAAAGTGAAGGAGAAGACAGACAAAGAGGAGGAGGAAGGGAAGGAAGTGGAGAAGAAGAGGGAGAAAGAGCAGGAGAAGGAAAGGAAGGAGGAGGAGGAAAAGGAGGAGGAAGGAGAGGAAGAGAAGAGAAAGAACGAGAGGGTGAAAGAAAGGAAGAAGTGGGAAGAGAAGGAGGAGGAGAAGACCTAGTCCCTGTTCAGAAGGAGCCTGGTCTTATTGTAGTGATGGGCTTACAACATCCAGACGACCACTGACCAGTTTCAGGGCAGCAGAGAAGGAAGTTCTTTCTGCCAAGGGCCCCATAGGCTACAGAACCCAGGGAAGGGCAAGCAAAGGTGCTACGTAAAGGCTGAGACGGGTGGGAAAGGCTTACTGGAGAGAAGATCTGACGGGATGGCCGGGAAAAGAAGAAGGGGAAGGAAGGCATCACAGGTGAGGGGAACAGCTGGAGTGGAGCCACGGAGGCCGGACTCAGAGCTGTCCATACGTGAAGATGCTAAAGAAGCTGACCCAACTGAAGTGGGTAAGTAGTGTTAGGGAAGCAGGAGAGGTGGGGCGGAGGCCAGGTATTGGGGGCGCAGGAAGAAGGCGACAGACTTTGATATGATATACATAAGTGCAGACACTTTCTTGAGTGTGTTTGTGTGTGGCAGCTGGGGGAAGGAGAGACTGGAGTTGCGGTGTTACCATGAGGTCGTTGTCTGTAGAGCAACATGAGTATGCTCTCCTCAGATGGCACAGGAAAATACCTAGAAAATTCAGTTAATATTATCAGTAATAGAAGTCGTAGTAAAACAGACTTTCTGTTGAGCGCGCTCTTTGTCAGACACTCTTTGATATTCTCTCCAAAACCATACACAGGAGGTATAATTAGTCCTGCTTTATAGATGCTGGAATCATTATACCTACAGTGTATGGTTCAGAGTGGTATGGTTCAGCTGAGGTTCAGAGTGGTAAAGTAACTTGCCCAGGGTCACACAGCTCTAGAGGAGAGCTGTGAACCAGGTGTGTCTGACTCACTCTACCACCCTGCCTTCAAGCCTTCCTGCCAGGAGAAGGCATGGCAAGGCCACCCGCCACAAAGGGCGTGTGTAGCCCCTTCTGGGTACCTCGAGAGGTGACACTGACACCTGTGCCCTTGGGTTTGCTGTCTTACAGGTCGTCAGCTTCTTCACCAGCGATGTAAACCACCTGTTTGAAGGTGTGTACTATGGCCCCCTGGTCTTGGTGGCCTGTTCAGCGCTGATTGCCTGTGGCATTGCCTCCTACCTCATTCTCGGACCGACTGTGCTCATTGCCATTTTTTCCTGTTTGCTGATTTTTCCACTGGAGGTAACATCTTTCTTTGCTGTCCATTCAGTGTTGGACTTTCCCCAGGAGAACTCTCAGGCCTTTGAATCTGGGCTGCCTCTAAGTGAGAATGTTGGCCCTTGGTGACGTTCACTGCAGTCCAGTTAAGATTCAGCTTCTATTTCTATCTCAAATCATTGTCCCACCACAATGTTTGGTTAAATATTAGAGGAGAATAAGATGTGTGAGGTCTGCCTCGGAGGTTTCTATGAGGGATTGTCTGCTTCACAGACTTCCCTTGGTAGATATCTTCTTGTGCCTTCTCTTCCACCCAGAGCGTGCATTTAACATTTGATAATAATAATAACTAATAATCAATAACTTTAATAATAACATTTAATAATGCAAGTGGCATTTAACATTTGGCTGACCACAGTATCATGGTGGGGAGGGAGGTGAATTTGCTGCCAAAGGTTCAGGAGAAATACAATTAAGCAAAAAAAAGGAAGTGACTCTTGGATTGTGTGTTCTCCAAATAATTGCAAGTCTAGTGTTTTTCTCCTTCAGTACAACTACTCTGATCAAAGAATGATCGTAATTGCTAGAAGATTTAGGGTGCCAGAAGGTAGAGAAGTCAGAGTTTGCTTAATTAGCCTCAGCCTGACTTAGCCACACCCAGGAGAGAAAGACCCCAGGGTGTGTGAGGCACATGCCTGGAGTGGCTCCCATTGGAAAACCTTCAGCAGAGGCCTGGAATTAAGAGTCACAGTGGATTCACTCAGTGCAGGATTAAACCCAAGTATTCAACCTGCTCCCCGGGTGGCACAAATGGTTAAGTGATCAACTACTAGTCAAAAGGTTGGCAGTTTGAACCCACCCAGAGACGCCTCAGAAGACAGGCCTGGTGACCTGCTTCTGAAAGGTCACAACCTGGAAAACCCAACGGAGCACTTCTACTTTGCACACATGGGGTCACCATGAGTTGGAATCGACTTTATGACAACAGGTTCGGTTTTGGTTTATTTAACCTGCATCTGGAGTTTACCTTTGGAAATACTGCAAACCACCCTACTCAGGCTAGCCTGAGCACTCCAGCCCTTGTAAAAAGAGACTCTTGACATCAACTCACTTGCTGCATCCCAACTCCAGGTATTCCTGACCAGAAAGAATGTGAAGATACAGGATCGCACAGTTGTGGTCAGCGACCAGCGCATCCGCGCGACCACTGAGGTTCTCACTTCCATTAAGCTGATTAAAATGTACGCTTGGGAGAAACCATTTGCAGCAATAATTAAAGGTATGGAAAGCTGACTTTATGCTCAGAGCTTGGTGATGTCATGATGGATCAACCTCTCTCACCCTTTGAGGACCTCTTTCATGTTTTCAGGATTATTATGTGTTTTTTGGGGAGTGTACTTGTGGTTAATTTCTGCATATTTCTTTTTTTTATCTTCCAGACCTAAGAAAGAAGGAAAGGAAATTATTGGAAAAGACCGGGCTAATCCAGAGCTTGACCAATATTGTGTTTTTGTTATCTCCAATAGTGTCCACGGTGATAACGTTCCTGATTCATACAGCCTTAAAATTAAAACTCACACCTTCGGTAGTAAGTGTTTGGGGTGCTTTGTTCCCCCATAATGATAGGGAGCTTTCTCCTGTGTCCTTTCCTAGCCCACCCTCCCTCAAAGATCTGAGGGTCTTGCAAATGGAGAATATAAGTTGATTTTATGTTTTTCCAGACTTTTAGGGTGCTCCAGCTTTCTCCCATCCCAACCCACCTGAGAAAGTGGCATCGCTTTGATAGCAGCTGTGGGAGGGAAGGGATACAGAATCGTCCAGTGGTGCAGGGGAGGTGGTGTATGCAGTTAAAACCCTGAGGATTCTGAGATACGCCTTGAGGTTGGGAATCCTGATTTGAGGAGTTTCTCTGACCCCAGAATAAGGATCCTGGAACCGCCCTTAACACAAAGGTGTCCTCTCTTCCACATTTCCCTTTGGGGTCTAACCCAAGCCCCGCCCCATCCCGCCCCAAGAAGCAGCAGCTGGCTTCTTTGGGTTGTTGTTAGCTGCTGTCAGGTCGGCCCCTGACTCATGGTGACACCGTGCACACCAGAACGCCGCGTGGTCTAGTCCTGAGCCATGCTGCTGTTGTTGGGTGCTGTCAAGTCATAGCGATCCGATGTACTACAGAACAGAACACTGCCCAGTCCTGCGCCATCCTCACAATTCTTGTTATGCTTGAGTCCATTCTTGAAGCCACAGTGTCAATCCATCCTGTGGAGGGTCTTCCTCTTTTTCGCTGACCCTCTACTTTACCAAGCATGATGTCCTTCTCCAGGGACTGATCCCTTCTGATAATATGTCCAAAGTATGTAAGACGTCTCACCATCCTTGCTTCTAGGGAGCTTTCTGGTTGTACTTCTTCCAAGACAGATTTGTTCGTTCTTTTGGCAGTCCATGGTATATTCAATATTCAGTATTCAACACCATGATTCAAAGGCATCAATTCATCTTTGGTCTTCCTTGCTCATTGTCCAGCTTTCACATGCATATGATGCGATTGAAAATATCATGGCTTGGGTCAGGCGCACCTTAGTCTTTAAGGTGACTTATTTGCTTTTTAACACTTTAAAAGAGGTCTTTTGCAGCAGATTTGCCCAGTGCAATGAGTCTTTTGATTTTTTGACTGCTGCTTCCATGGGTGTTGATTGTGTATCCAAGTAAAATGAAATCCTTGACAACTTCAATCTTTTCTCCATTTATCAAGATGTTGCTTATTGGTCCAGTTGTGAGGATTTTTGTTTTCTTTATGTTGAGGTGTAATCCATACTGAAGACTGTGGCCTTTGATCTTCATCAGTAAGTGCTTCAAGTCCTCTTCACTTTCAGCAAGCAAGATTGTGTCATCTGCTTAATGCAGGTTGTTAATGAGCCTTCCTTCAATCCAGATGCCCCGTTCTTCTTTATATAGTCCAGCTTCTCGGATTATTTGCTCAGCATACAGATTGAATAGGTATGGTGAGAGGATACAACCCTGACACACAGCTTTCCTGACTTTAAACCATGCAGTATCCCCTTGTTCTGTTCAAACAACTGCCTCTTGGTCTATGTACAGATTCCTCATGAACACAATTAAGTGTTCCGGAATGTTCATTCTTTGCAATGTTATCCATAATTTGTTATGATACATACAGTTGAATGCCTTTGCATAGTCAATAAAACACAGGTCCTGTGCCATCTGCATGATCAATTATGGATCAAACCACTGGGAACCACAGAGTTTCATTGGCTGATTTTTCAGAAGTAGTTTACCAGGCCTCTCTTCCTACTCTGTCTTATCTGGAAGCTCTGCTGAAACCTGTAGCATCAAAGCAACATGCAAGGTTCTGCTGTCAGATGGTGGTGGCTGTGCGTGAGGAGAATTGGCTGGGAATCAAACCCGGGGTCTTTTGCATGGAAGGCAAGAATTCTACCACTGAACCACCAATGCCCCACACTTTGGATCAGGAACCCCAGTTCTCTGAGGAGAATAAGACAGGGTGCTGCTCTTACAGAGTCTGTAATCCTGCTGGGGAGGCCAGCAGATTCCACAGGAAGCATGAGGGGGCAGCAGTTGAGACTCTTCAGCCAAGGGCCCATTTGTGCTCCACACAGTGGTCACCTCTGCCCGGCTCAAGCATCCACCAGACAACCTCCCCTCCCCCCAAGAGAAACCTGAGGTGGGTGGTCTGGAGAGGGGTGGGCTTAGAAAACTTTCAGTGAGTCTCAAGGGTCATACTGCACTCACACCAGTCAGGATGAGACCAAGGCATTTGTACCTGGATTGGAGTTTATCTTTGGGTTAAGCTGGAAGAAGATGGGAGTGGAGACTGGGGATGAGTCGGACAGTCCCCAGGTACCTTTGAGAGATCACATTCTGGAATCTGAGAGTCTGCTGTGGTTTGCTATCGTCAGGGAAGGTCTCCTGCAGAAAGGGAGACAGGGATTAGAAGAGTAGGGAGATGTTAAATGTTAGAAGGGAAAAGTGTAACTGAAACAAAGAGGAAAAATCTGACCTTCACTGGGATGACAGCACCAAGCTACGCTGAGAGTTTATAACGCTCTCGTACATGCGTTTTCTTAGTGTTTCCCAAGCTTTGTTCTTATACCAACTTTACAGTTTTTGTCACTATGCCAATGGGGAAACTCAGGCTCTGAGAGTGGGTGACCTGCCCCAAATTAGTCTTGCATTCCTTGTGGGAGGCCTGAGTTCCGCTTCCGACCGGTGCACCTCAAGGGCAGCCGCAACCCGTCTGTCAGTTCGTGTTGTTATGATGCTGAACTGGTTTCAGTGGAGCTTCCAGACTAAGACAGATCAGGAAGAAAAGCCTGGAAATCTACTTCCGAAAATCTGCCAATGAAAACTCTATGGATCTAGGGCCGACTCGAGGGTAGCTGACTACAGCAAGCCACGCCAGGGACCAGGCCTTCGGACTTCAAGCCCAGGGTTCCTTCCAGTCTCCCCCAAATACCAGCTTAGCCACTGCCAAACGAAGGGCCTGTTTGTCCGAAGCTACAGGGTCTGGTTCTGTGGCGTGAGGATCAGGGATGGTGGCCCAGGGAGTGGAGCGACTGAGCAGGACAAGCCTGGGATGCTCACTGCCTCCTCCCCTTCTTATCCAGGCCTTCACTACAGTGGCCGCCTTGAACCCCCTTTGGCTGTCAGTGTTCTTAGTGCCCTTCTCAATCAAGGGCCTCACAAATTCCAAGTCTGCAGCCGACAGGTTCAAGGTAAGTGCCCAGCCTTCTGTTGGATACTCCTTTGCCCCGGTGATATTCCTTCTGAACAAGTCCCCTGACCAAGGCGGAGTCCGGCCTGGGTGGAGAGGGATTGACTATGTCAGTGACTGCCTGTACCCAGGCTGGTGGAGAGCTGGATCAGATGCGTCAGCTTGGGTTCTAGTCCTCAGAGGTCTCAGATGTGTGGTCTGCAAACCTTATCTAGCACCAAGATAGGGTTGCGTATGATTATCCCTGTGATTTTGCTTAAAAAAAAAAAAGTTCCTTGCATTTAAATATCTGGATATATTATATAAAAACAGATTTCTGGATTCTCTCGAATGGTCAGAAGATCTGGCAACACTGGATCCACGTCTCCCATAGCAACAAGTGGCGGAAGCCGAGGTGCTAGCTGCCCTGTGTAGGTGGGATGAGTGTACGCCAGTTTCCACTGCAGTCCCTACCATGCCCTGTCACACCCCCAACACAGGGCTGCATTTTAGTTGCCATTTGTCATCGTGGAAATGGTCCATTTCAGTATTTACATAGCTGTTCTAGCCCCTACTGGTATCTGAGTTTGAAAGCCCTTATCTAAACAATTTTAAAGAAGACATTTGATGCTCCTTTCACTTAGACACATATGCGGTCTGTGCCCCTGGCGTTCACGGAATCAGGCACTGATATACTCATCGTCTATTCTTGAGCCCCTGCCATGAGCTGGGCACTGCCATGGCTGCACTGAAGGTGAGCACTAGGCTAGCTCTCAGGGAGCTCCAATCCGCTATTGGAAACAGACCATCGACAAGTAAATCAATCGTCAGAGAAGATGATATCAGATCACACCAACAGCTGGCTGTCAATAAAAAAGCCTGACATTAAAGAGTGTGGGGAGGGCTGGGGGCTACTTTCTGCCGAGGTGGCATTAGAGCTGACTTGAGTGATGACTGGGCTGAGAGGACAGCCAGTGCAAAGGCCCTGAGGCTGGAATGAACTTGGCTTGGCCAAGTTACAGGAAGACTGACGTCCTTTACTTATCAAATAGCCCTAGGAGCTTCCCTATCTTTCAGCAGCTCTCTCTTCCTCCCCAGGGTACATGGGGTTCTCCCATTCTCCTCTCTGGGCCAGTATTCACCTGTAGAGTCGCAAAGATGAGGAAGCCACAGTCAGGGCGCAGAGAGGTGGGAAGGGATGTCTGCTGAAGGAATGGCAAGGGAGACAGCTTTGGCCATGTTCAGGGTCTAGGGTTCTTCTGATGTGGCGGTGAGTGGGAAGAGGTGGGATGGGTAGAGTTAAGTGGGAGGTGGGGGCAGGAAGGGCAGCAGCCAGGGCAAAGATCTCGAGCCCCGGGCTGCACTCCATCAAGGCAGCAATGGGCTGGTGCTGAGTAGGACTGTCCCTCGGGGTGGGGCACCTACTCTCCAAGCCCCCTCACTCAGTCAGTGCTTAGGAAGCACTTCGACTCTTCCTGCTTCAGCCACGTACGTTTTCTATCTGGCCTGTATCTGTGTGACCTTGTGACTGCTGGGCTGAGTGGGGAAGAATCCCCTTGGCCGTCCTTCCTTCTTCCTCCTCTCCCCGCACTGGGGCTGTAACCCCACTCCCTGTGCCCTCTGGTTCTTGAAGGGAGAAGGAAAAAGCTGTGAGCCCTCAGGGAGGATCCCTCCTTGGATGTGACGTCAGGGATGGGGTGGTCAAGGAGGAGGCAAGCCGGTGGCGGGAACTGGGGCTGCCTGCAGACTAGGGCTCTGGGGAAGGCCCTCGAGGGGAACCGCAGGGCAGGGGATCATACTGCCCACCACACTTCTTTAATGCTAGAATCCGTGTAGTTCCATCTCCGTGTTTTACAGACAGGGAGACGGCGAAGCAGAGAGAAGCAACTTGCTGATGGTCACATTTTGAAATGTGCGACTTGAAATAGCATTTCTCAATTTGTGGCGTAGGGCAGACCTTTCTATTTTCAGTAGGTGACACATTAATTTCAATTAGAAAACTACACATCAGCACCATGATTCAACAGCTATTATCCCTGAGTTGAGGCGACCATTAGTTAAGCCTTTGTTGTTGTGAGGTGCCATCAAGTCGGTTCTGACTCATAGCGACCCGGGGCACAACAGAGTGAAACCCTGCGCAGTCCTGAGCCATTCTAACAATCATTGTTATGCTTGAGCCCACTGTTGCAGCCACAGTGTCAATCCATCTCGATAAAATAGGAAATAACCAACAGTGTAGGTGATACATAAATAGAGCGGAGTTGTTCAGTGGCCTGAGATTTGGAAAACACTGATCTAGAATGGCCTCTTCCTAAGGGTGGTGTTACTTCCAACTTTTGCTGTTTATTAAAAGATCAGTAACACAGACCAACTGGCCAGTCCGTAAAATGGTACACATTCCCACTGAGCTAAAGAATGGAATTCCTCCTCTCTCCCTTTCTTTTTGTCTTTACAGAAATTTTTCCTCCAGGAGAGCCCTGTTTTATATGTCCAGACGCTGAAAGACCCCAGCAAGGCGCTGGTTTTGGAGGGGGCCACATTGTCATGGAGGCAGACCTACCCTGGGATTGTCAACAGAACGTTGGAGTTGGAGAGCAATGGACACACCCGTGATGGGATGGCCAGGGCTCAACCACCTTCAGGTGGCCTCAGGCCCGAGGACAAAGGGGTCAGGCTGGGCCCGGAGTTGCACAAGATAAGCCTGGCGGTGTCAAAGGTAGCTTTCCTCGCGCCATGCTGGCAGGCCGGCCGCCAGACTTCTGAGGGCTGCGGCTGGGAGCTCGGCCTGCACCTTACCATTTCTTTGGTTAAAAATTGCCCTCTCCAAGATCCCCCTCTTAAAATACAAATTGCTCATGGAGGGCAAATACAGGAAGTCTTTCATAGTTTAGTGTAAGTTAGTTGATCATCTAAATTTTTTCTGATGGGTAAGACCCCGGAATAGTCGAAGGGCACCGTGTGCTTCGAGGAACCAAGAACCCAGGAAGGAAGGGGAGGAGACTGAGCTGACATTTGAGGCGTTCCTGGTGTGTGTCAGGCACTAGCCTGCACGTTTTGTTTTTTTCTGGCTCCTCCTCTGCCTCATGTTTCCAAGGGCTCAATCCCCTGCTCGCTCCTGTTGTTGCCCCTCCCCTTCTCTTACCTATTGACGCTTTCTCCTTGGGAACATCACACCCAGTTCCTCAGCTTGAAATTTCATCTCTACGCCATTTCTCTAGCCTCGAAGTCCTCTGAGCTCCAGACTCAACTAGCTATTGAATATCTCCACTTAAATTCCTACTAAGTGTTTCAAATAAAACAAGGCCAAAAGAGAACTCTTGAATTTCACCCTCTCCAACTGGTTCCGCCATCTTCCCCATCCCAGGGGATGGCACCACCAGCCTTCCAGTGGGCAAGGACGAAGGAGTCAAGCTGGATTCCTCTCCTCACCTCCCACCAAACCAATCCTTCAGCAGGGTCCATCAGCTCCACTCCGACATCTCTCCCAAGCCCAGCCACTTCTCGCCATTTCTCCCTCCACTGCCGAGCCCCAGCCATCATCACGCCGTTCCTGGCCTCTCTGAGCGCCTCCTTTCCAGCCTCTGCCTCCACTTTCGCCCTCGTGATCCACTATCCATGCAATGGACACAGCAGTCTTTCTGAAGCGTGAACTGATTCGTGTCACACCCCTGCTTAAAGCCTTCAGTGACTTCCCACTATACCACCTACACCTGCCTACCCCTTTGACCTCTTCTCCCACTCACTCCCTCCACACCACCCACGCCAGCCCTCTTGCAGCTCTTTAACACCCAAGCTTATTCCTCCAACAGGACCTTTGCGTCTGCTGTTCCCGTAGCTTGGAACACTCTTGCCCCAGGTCTTCCTGTGGCTGGCTCCTTCCTGTCATTCAGGTGTCAACTGCAATGCCATGTGCTCAGGGAAACCTTCCTTGGCCACCCTATCTAAAATCCAGCTCTCTGTCATAGTAGCCCATTTCATTTTACTGATATCACTTACCACCATCTGATAATATCTTATTTATTTATTATTGTTTTACAGTCTGCCTCCCCCCGCTAGACTATCAGCTCAATGAGAACTGTTTTCTTCACTACATAGAAGAAACTCAAATGCCTATTTGATGGATGAATGAATGCATGCATGCATGAATTCTCTGAGGCTGTTTTCATTATTCCCATTTTACAGATGAAGAAACTGAGGCTCAGCATGGCTAAGAGACTTGCCCAGGGTCACAGAATAGAATAGACGCCAACCTAGAGTTCAGGTTTCCTGCCAACATGCTCACCCATCCATGACTTCCTCTCTGCCACTCCCGTGGGCCCTCCTGTCCCTAAGGCTGTCCCATCCCAGCTCTGGAGACCAAACTCAAAGCCCCTCTTGAATGTCGCTTGTCTAAGGCGTCTTGGGGGAGGGTAGTTATTTTGTTTTCTGCTTTTGTTATTTTATGTTCAAATAATAGACTCCCCCTCCCCCGAGGGAGGATGTGCCGCCCACTGCCCTCTGTCCTCCTTGACTTTGCAGGGGATGGTGATGGGGATCTGTGGCAACACAGGGAGTGGTAAGAGCAGCCTGCTGTCAGCCATCCTGGGGGAGGTAAGTGCCCCGGGCCGCAGTGCACTCCCACCCACCAGCAGTCCACTGTTCCCAATCTCAGGTTCCCCCAGGGAGGCCATCTGTGGCTCTCTTCCTCAAAGGGTCTGAGCAAATAGGGTTTCTGTGAGTTGGAAACGGCTGTGCGTGCCCATGGGGAGGTGAGTCATAGGTGCTCCCCGCTCAGCCGCACTTTGTCCCCATGCCAAGGCTGCACTCCTGGTTGGAGCGTCTCCTGAAGTCTGTCCTCACAGTCTCTGCAGTTAGCTGTCAGGGTGAGACAGGGTGTCCCAACGTTTACTGTGGTAACGGAATCATTTCAGGAAGCCCAGCCCCCACCACGGTGGACCGGGACGCGTGTCCTTGCGGGATGCGTGTCCTTGCGGGACGGCCTCAGAAGTGAAGCATACAGGGAGAAAGAAGAAAGAAGGTGTGGGGGTGGGATGGGGCCGTTTTCCTCCACCAGCAGTGGATCCACCTGTCTGCTGGGTGCCCCTCCCCAGAGATGTGGGGGTACCTCTGGAACCCGAATTCCACCCTCTGTGGAAGTGCTGAGGTCTGCTTGGTCTGTAGCCTGCAGACAGATGTGTGGCTCAGCCCGGCCTCGGCCAGTCTCAACCCAGCTAACGCCCCAGCTTACAGTAAGCAAGGTACGCACGGGCCTAACTGTGCTTAAGCACTGGACTACTAACTGAAGGTTGGCGGCTCAAACCCATCCAGAGGCATCTCGGAAGTAAGTCCTGGCAATCTGCTTCCAAAGGTCACCGCCTTGAAAACCCGACGGAGCAGTTCTACTCTGCACATGTGGGGTCGCCATGAGTCGGCATTGACAGCAACTCACGGCAACAACCCCCAGGAGTTTCACCAGCCCTTCTTCGCTCAGCCCCCAGCCTCGCCCCCTCTCCTGGCTTCTCTCACTGCCCCCCTTTCTTTCCCCAACATCCCTCCTTCCCACATTGTTACTCAGCATTTCCCTCAGCTCTCCCTCACAGCCAAACCCACAACCAAACTCACCACAGCATCTTGCCTATAGAAAGGGTTTTGGTTTACTAGGATCCACCCGTGGAATGCAGACAGCTTATAAATAATAATTCTCTCTTCATACCATCTGACAGCTCCTTTATCCGTGCTCCACATCTGATGGCCTTTCCCCAGCTTCTTCGGAACTAGGGAGAAGAAAGCTGCCATTTTTAAATAATAGTAACAGTATCCAAGCACTACGTGCCGTGCCCTGTGCTAAGAGCGTTCCGTTTTCCTTCAGCCCCATGACAACCCAATGAGGAAGGTACGGTCACTACAGCCAGTTTACAGATGAGTAAGCCAGGTTGAGAGGTGACTTGCCCAAGGTCACACAGCAGGTAAAGGGTGGAGCCAGGATAGTAACCCAGGTACCTGAGGTCGGAGCTTTGCCCTGCCTCACAGCAACCTTCGCTGGAAGCTTCCACTCAAGGCCACCTTTCTACCTGGCCTGTGGTTTGTCAATCTGCTCTTCAAATGAACCAGTGTCTTTCCTTCTAATGAAGGGGAAATACCATTTTAAAACTTTGTTCTTCATAAAGAAAGCCTGGCTCCGAATCAGAAGTAAAAAGCACAACATTAGAGGAAAGAAAAAGGCAGAGATAACAGGTCCAATGCCGGTGCAGTGTGGATGGGAGTTATATTCTTTCCTTTTTTTAGTGTGTGTTTTTAAACTTACCATACAGAAAGCAGAAAGAATACTGCGGTGAAGCCCCATATGCCACCACGTAGATTCAACAGCTGATAGTATTTTTACATATTTACCTCATCTATGTAAATACATATTTTGTAGAATTCCTTTAAGTTGTAGAGATTATGACGCTTTCTGTACTACATACCTCATTCTGAAATCCAAAAATAAGGATATTTTTCTATCTAAGCGCAATACCATTATTACATCTAGCAACAGTAACAACGCCCTAATACCCAGGCCATGCTAAACACACGGAGGGTGTTTTAATGCCAGTCTTGGATTTCATCAGAGCAGGAAGTGGCTGGCTTAGCTCCAGCTGCTTTCCCAGGTTCCCATGGCTGCTCCCTCAGGCTTCCTGGCGAGCCTGGCAGGGTGCTGGTGGTGCTATTTGCCATGGAGATGATGCTGACTCATGATGACCCCATGTGACCCCATGAGAGCAATGTTAAAAGTCCCATTTTACATAGGACAGCCCCAAGGATCCCAGAGGGCAGGGGGCATGGGGCACTGCGGCTGCGGAGGCAGGCGTCCGTCCCTGCCTACCTGGTCCTGAGGCTCATTCTGCTGTAGATGTACTTGCTGGAGGGTTCGGTGGGCGTGCATGGAAGCCTGGCCTATGTGCCCCAGCAGGCCTGGATCATCGGGGGAAGCGTCAGAGAGAACATCCTCATGGGAGGCCAGTATGACAAGGCCCGGTGAGCCTCTGGGAGTGGAAGGGGAGGGGTGGACACGAGGCTGTGGTGGTTGGGGGCGGGCGCCCCAGCGGACAGCGGTAACTTGACAATTGCTGACTTTTGCTGCTCTCACTCACGTGCGTCACCATACTTCCCCTCACTGTGAAATAAGGATTATTGACACGTCCGTATTCCTATGAGTCAAGTGAGGCTCCAAGAGGTTGAATAACTTGTCCGAAGTCACACAGCTGGGACGACAGAGTAGAGTCAGGATTTGAACCCAGGTGCTTAACTATGACACTATACTGGCTCAAAATAGCCAGTACACCCTCTTCCCGCCAAAAGTGTCACTTTAAAGCTTCCTTTGTATTAATTAAATCCTGGCCCCTGAGTCAAAAGCTAAAGCAAATAGGGTGGCGAGGTCATGCAAGGTGGGGGACATGAATTTGGATTCATGGTCCAGTGGGCCTCCCACCTCCCATCCCGATCCCTCCTTCCCCCTTGCGGCCTCTCCTTGCCTGGGGTCCTGGGGTTGACTGTCTGGAAACATGCCTTTGGAAGTCATGAGTGAAGTGTATTCAGTGGGGGCTCCAGAAAATTCTGCCCTGAAAGCTCCTGCTATGCTTCTAACTATGGTGGACTTTGACTGACTTTTTTGCTTGGTTTTGCAATCTGCTCTGTGACACTGAGGGGCCTAGATATGAGGTGTGTAGACTGGACACCTCCACCTGGTGTCCCATGGGCACCTCCACCTGGTGTCCAGTGGACACTTCCACCCGGTGTCCTGTGGGCACTCTGACCATACTTCCTTTGCTGCTGGGAACCTCAGCTTACCTCAGCCATGCCCACAGGGCCAATATGATTTCTGACTTTGACATTTTCCTAATTATTCACTAACTTCCACATCTACAGCCACATTTAATCTCCTAAGACTCCCATAAGGAAAAAGCAGTATTGTTATTTCTGTTTTATAATCTAGTGATAGCGACATCTCTTGAGCTCAGCCAGACACCTGTACCAACCCACAATCATCCTCCTTGCCCATCCTACAGCCCACTGCTTCTCTTCCCGGATTGCCCAATCAGTGAAACGCCTTCACCCAAACTGCACCTCAGTCAGCCTGGATGCCTCATCCTCTGGATGAGTCTTCTCCTGGAAATCTCTTGTATTTCTCTCTTCTTCTCAGTTCAGGTCTGTATTGTCTCTTGCTTGAACTGCTTCCACTGGCCTCTCCAGTCTTCTCTAGCTCTGTTCCATCCTGCATACAGTCTCCAGGGTAATCACTCAAAACCCAACTCTCTTCTTGTCATTGCTCTGTTCTCAGACTGGTACAACCCGGAGGGCAGTTTTGAAATATCTGTCAAAAATAAAAATGCACCAACTCTTTGAGGCAGTAAATCTCCTGCTAGATATTTAATGCATAGATATCCTCCCTCATAAGCACAAGGACCCACAGACAGGAACATCCACATTGCATCGTTCATAACAGCAGAAGACTAGCGACAACCCAAATATCCATCTCTAGGGCACTGGTTAAATAACTTACAGTTCAGCCAGATAATGGAATACTATGGTGCCATGAAAGTGATGTAAACCTACAAGTACTGTTTACAAACACATATGAAGAGATGCTTTCTGAACACATATATAAGAAACTGTACTAGTGGCAGAGCAACTGAGGGTCAAAGATGGGCAGGAGATTCATTTTTCACTGTATCTCTTTTCTGTTCAAATATTTACTGACTGCATGCTTTACTTTGAAAGAAATGAAAGAAGGAAGGAAATGAAAAAAATGTCCAATGGTTACCACTAAACACAAGATCAAGTCCAAATTTTTTAGCATGGAATTCAAGACCATTCCCCTCAAGACTTGGGAAGCTTGGAGGGCCTGATGACCAAAGACTTGGGAAGATTGGAGGGCCTGATGACCCAAGACTGGGGGAGATTGGAGGGTCTGATGACCCAAGACTTGGGGAGATTGGAGGGCCTGATGACCCAAGACTTGGGGAGATTGGAGGGCCTGATGACCCAAGACTTGGGCAGATGGGAAGGCCTGATGACCTAAGACTTGGGAAGACTGGAGGGCCTGATGACCCAAGACTTGGGAAGCTTGGAGGGCCTGATGACCCAAGACTTGGGGAGATTAGAGGGCCTGATGACCCAAGACTTGGGAAGATGGGAGGGCCTGTACCTCACAGCTCCCTGTCCTTTGAAGTTACCTCCAGGTGCTCCACTGCTGCTCCCTGAAACAAGACCTGGAAATTCTGCCTTTTGGAGACATGACTGAGGTAAGTGGGAGGTGAGCAGGGTTGGTGCCTTTATGTTTTGGGGTCCTCAGGCCGTAAGGACCTCTCTGCCTCCCGGGATAGGTAGAGAAGGACCCCAGCCCTTCCTTCTTAAGCAGCCTGAACCTCCCCTGTAGCGACTGCCTCAAAGTCAAGAGCAAAGACTCCTCCCCTGAGGGAAGTTCAGGTGCATCTTACAGTGGGAACTGGAGAAGAAAGATGCCACCTTCCCCCACAAGGTGGGGTTGACCTCAAGCTCCTCTTTCTGGAGTAGAGTGGAGATCCTATAAAGATGAGAAACCCTTCCACCTCACCCACCATCTCTGTCTCCACTGTGGCCAGCACTTGCCAGTGGGAACCTCAGTTTACCTCACCCGTGACATCTGAGTACTACATTTTCCTTACTACTCACTGTCTTTCACGTCTACGGCCATCTTTGACTTCCTAATACCCCGTAAGAGAAAAGCAGTTTTATTATCTCTGTTGTATAATCTAATAATAGCTACATCTGTTGAGCACTTACTATATGCAAGGTACTATCTAGAAACTTGAATGCATTGTCTTATGCAAGCCTCGCAATAACTCTAGGAGGTGAGTCCTTTCATTATCCTCATTTTAAAGATGGGATTGTAAATCCTTGAGGACAGAGAGCTCAGTTGTCTTACTCACTGTCGGTGTCCTCAGTAAGAAGATCAAGGTCTCATCTGTAACATGGCATTGGGTTGCTAAAGTTCTTTGAGCTTGGCCCATCTTAGAGTAGGTGTTAGCTATTGTTATGCGGACATACTAGCCATTTAACAAGTATTTACCGAATGGGTGAATGAATGGAAAACTGGGCCTTGCCCAGTTCAGGCGGCTTGCCCAAAGTCACACCATGGTGAACTGGAGGCAGAACGGTGACAAGAGGTCACCCTGCTGCCCTTTTAGACTCTGCTTCTTCTGTGCAGAGACCTGGAGTTCAGGGCAGAAAGAAGACTGGAACTTACACCCTAGCTCCTTGTCCTCAAGCCTGACTAAAGGATGGGCCAGCGAGCAGCTGTCTGGGTGCTGATCTTCAAGGGAACCCAGAATATGATGCCCAGTTTCTCAGGTTTCCATGGTGGACTCCTGACGTAATGGGTGCCATGAGAAATGGCCCTTCCCGTTACAGCAACAGTGAAGCACCTTCTCAGCCACTGTAGATCCATCTCTGCTGCGTAGTTAACTGTATGTGGTGCAGAGAGCTGTAGACGACACCCCTAACCAGGCCAACAGGCCCTCAGGTTGACAGTTGCAGTCAACTGAGATTTGAAACTTGAAGACAGAAGACAGTGCTGTTTCCTGGGAATGAGTGATCTATTATCTAATTTTGCAGTGATTCAATATGTCTCCTGCGAAGTTGATAGGTTTAGAAAAATTGTATCTAGTTATGAGTTATGAAATTTTAATTAGTTGAAAATCAGTTTCTTTATCCCTACTAAGCAAATGTTGAAAAATATTTTTAGAATGTCAGTAGCTGTCCTGAAGCATGTGCATATCTTGGTCTGTTGTGGAGGGGATTGAGTCTGTCATGTCTGCCCCCTCCCCCCTGCCCCATTTGGGTACACCTGGCCTGAGCTCACCCTCTGGACACCGTGGTTTTGCTCCTTGTTCACAGATCGGGGACCAGGGTCTCAACCTCTCCGGGGGGCAGAAGCAGAGAATCAGCCTGGCCCGAGCTGTCTACTCCAATCGAGAGGTCTACCTGCTTGATGACCCCCTGTCAGCTGTAGACACCCGAGTGGGGAAGCACATTGTTGAGGAGTGCATTAAGAAGACACTTCGGGGGAAGACCATCATCCTGGTGGCCCATCAGCTGCAGGTAACCACACGTGGAGGGTTCTGGCCATGATTGATGGATAACGTAGATCCTTAAGGCTCTGCCATTTCAGAGTGTGATTCAAACACAACCTCATGGGCAGCTATCCCTTCACCTCAACCAGTTGCCATGGAGTCAACTCTGACTCATGGTGACCCCATGTGTGTCAGAGTAGAACTGTGCTCCATAGGGTTTTCAATGGCTGATTTCTTGGAAGCAGATCACCTATCCTTTCTTCCAAGGTGTCTCTGGGTGGACTTGAGTCAGCAACCTCTTGGTTAGCAGCTAGCACATTGACTGTTTTCATCACCCAGAGACTCCTTACCTCAGACTTGCGGTTATTAGTTGCTGTGAAGTCGATTTTGACTCATGACGACCCCATGTGTGCAGAGTAGAGCTGCTCCATAGGATTTTCAAGTCTGTGACCTTTAGGATGCAGATTGCCAGGCTTATCTTCTGAGGCACCTCTGGGTGGGTTTGAACTGCCAACCTTTCGGCTAGTAGTCAAGTGTGTAACCATTTGTGTTGAGCCTGAGCTCAACAAATGTGGGGAGTGTTATAAAGAACTTGGATTTCCTCTTGCTTTCTACATGGAGAAGACAGGCCAGTAAAAGATTTTTGTGGTTGGTAAAAACTGAAACCAAATTTCAAGGTTTCTTTCATCATCAAAAATTTAGCCAAAAGGTGGAAACAACCCAAATGGCCATCAGCAGGTGAATAGATAAACAAAATGTGGTGTATCCATATGTCTTAGGCTGGGTTCTATAGAGAAGCAAAACCCGTAAAGCATATAAATATATAAAGAGAGATTTATATCAAGGAAACAGCTTATGCGACTGTAGAGGCTGGAAAGTCCCAAGTCCGTGGATCAGGATAGAAAGGCCTCTCCCAATTCACACAGCCCCAGAAGCTGGCGAACCCAAGATTGTCAGGTCAGAGAGCAGGGCTCCTGCTCACAGGCTGTAAAGGTCAACGAATCCCAAGATCAACAGGCAAGACCACAAGGTTTCTCATGATTCACGTAGCTGCAGGGGCTGGCGAACCCAAGATTGGCAGGTCAGAGAGCAGGACTCTTGCTTGCAGGCTGTGAAGATCGATGAATCCCAAGATTGGCAGGTAAGCTGCTAGCTCAAGTCCCAAGAACAGGAGGTCAGACTACAAGAGGCAGTTGCTGGATCCAGAAAATGCCAAAAACCTTGGCAAGGCTAGCAGGAAGGAAGCAGGTGGCAGAGGGCAGAAAGATGAAGGCTGAGGGGGCAGTGAGCCGCCATGGGCCCCACCCCCACCAGTACCACTCAGAAGATTCCATCATGGGGGTGATCACATATCAAATTTCAACAAGGAAGTGACCACAACATTATACAACTGCCAAAACACTGAGAATCACGGCCCAGCCCAGTTGACGCACAATCTTAACCATCACACCATACATTGGAATATTTTTCAGCCATAAAGAGAAATGAAGTTCTGATGTGTACTACAACATGCGTGAACCTTGAAAAGTAAAATATTGTTGCCCGATTAGGGTCTGTGCCCTGGAGCAGTCGAGCCAATAAAATGTACTCCAACTCAGAAAGAGTGAGAAAGTTTATTTGGGAGGCGCCTGCCACAGGGGATCCGACAGCAGTGCAGGCTGTCTCAATGGAGTCCCAAAGGGCATTTTCACATTAGCGCTTATATATGGTTTTTACAAAGGTTAGAAGTATCTTTAGCACGTCATCCACAGATGGCCGGATGAGTTATTCATTACAAGGGAATTACAAGAGACTCTTTATCAGACTAAAGAGATACATGCCGGACATCTCCTTATCAGGTTAAAGATATACACGTCAGACATCTGGGTTCTGATCTTCCTGTGGGGTGTCTTAAGCCACAGGTGGCCGGACAGAGCAAAACAAAGTCATTAACAAAGGTATGCAGAAAGGAGAAGGCAAAGAAAAAATAAACTTATAGGTTCATCATGGGGATAGTTATGTCAAGCTCTCAGTCGCCCATTTTGAAAACAAGAAAGCGTGCTGGGGAGTGTTAGGGTCACAATAAGTTATACACAAAAGAACAAATATTGTATGATCGTCTAAATGATTCTAGATGAAAAGAAAAAGAAGTTTTTTTTTATGCGTGGGCCTCCTGCTTTTCAAGTTAAAAAAAAAAAAAAAAACGACCCCCCCCAGATAAACAGAATTCCCCAAGTCCCACATTCTTAGGTCAAGGGACCCCACAGGATCTTGTCCTCCGAACCCGACCATCCTCTCGATGGCTGTGTCTGGCGCTGCCTCTCACAGCTCCTTTACCCTAGGTATTTTCATTCTTGGTATTGGCCTCAAGGCTTCATTTTTTAATTTCTCCTCCTTCTTCTTCTCTTTCTCTTGCCCACTTATTTTTGCCTTACTCTGAGTCGGAATCGACATGACAGCAATGGGATTATTTATTTATTTTTTAATATGTAAAATATTTCAAACCTACAAAAAGATCTAGAGAATAATCTAACGACAACCATGTATCTACCAGGCAGGTAAAACGACGAAACACTGCATTCCCTTGCGGATTGCATCCCTTTCTTCCCTGCCATCCTGGATTTCTTGACTATCGTTCTGAAGCGCGCCTTCATCCTCTTATGCCTTCATCCTCTTACATCATATGCATGAATCTGCAGTCATGTCAAAGTGTCCTTTGCATTTTTAAAATTTATAGATCGTTCGTGTTTTACTGTGTCTTTTGGTAATTTGCCTTTTCACTCAGCATTGTGCTTCTGAGATCTTCTATATTTATACATATAACTGATTCTCACTGATAAAATATTCCAGTATATCAACAGACCAGAATTTATTTTTCTAGGATGGACATTTAAGGAGCCATAGTGGTGCAACGGTTAAATGCTCAGCTGCTAACTGAAAGGTTGGTGGTTTGAAGCCACCCATTGACTCAGCAGGAGGAAGACCTGGTGATCTGCTTCTGTAAAGACTACACATATTTCACTTCATAAAAAATGGCCTCAGTGTAGAGGGACCAAATTGCTGGGTGGAGGGCTGTGGGGACCATGGTCTTGGGGAACATCTAGCTCAATTGGCATGACACAGTTTATAAAGAAAAGGTTCTACTTCTACCTTGGTGAGTAGTGTCTGGGGTCTTAAAAGCCTGTGAGCGGCCATCTAAGATACTCCACTGGTCTCACCCCTTCGGGAGCAAGGGAAAACAAGATACAAGGGAAAGATTAGTTCAAAGGACTAATGGACCATAACTACCACAGTCTCCACCAGACTGAGTTCAGTACAACTAGATGGTGCCCTGCTACCACCACTGACTGCTCTGACAAGGATCACAACGGAGGGTTCTGGACAGAGCTGGAGAACAATGTAGAACAAAATTCTCTCACAAAAAAAGACCAGACTTACTGCCCTGACAGAGACTGGAAAAACCCTGGGAGTATGGCCCCTGGACACCCTTTTAGCTCAATACTGAAGTCACTCCTGAGGTTCACCCTTCAGCCAAAGATTAGATAGCCCCAGAAAACAAAACGAGCTTAATGGGGCACAGCAGTCCAGGGACAAGGACTAGAAGGCAAGAGGGGACAGGAAAGCTGGTAATAGAGAGCCCAAGGTTGAGAAGGGACAGTGTTGACATGTCGCGGGGTTGTTAACCAATGTCATAAAACAATATGTGTACTAATTGTTTAATGAGGAACTATTTGTTCTGTAAACCTCCATCTAAAGCACAAAAAAAAAATAAAAATGGCCTCCGTGTCTATCCTTCTACACGTGTCTTTAGACACACGTCCAAGAGTTTCTTTATGGCAGAAGTTTAGGCGTAAAATTGCTAGCGCGTCGCTCCAGTCTTCAAATGTGCTGCTGTTAGTGACTGTTGAGCTGACTCCAACTTTCCGACTCGTGGCACCCCGCGTGTGCGGAGGAGAGCCGCTCCATAGGGCTTTCAAGGCTGTGACCTTTCGGAAGCAGACTGCCGGGCCTGTCTCCTGAGGTGTCTCTGAGTGGATTCGAACTGCCGATCTTTCTGTAGTTGAGCACTTAACAATTTGCACCACCCAGGGACTCTTCAGCTTTATTAGATATTGTCCAATTGTACTCCAAAGTGGCTGTACCAATCTATAGTCCCCCCCAAACAGTTTATGAGAGTTCTCTTTGCCTCGGGTCATTACCAACACTTGGAGTTGTATGACTTTCAAAAAATTTTTGCCAATGTAGTCATAAATAACACTTTATCATGATATTAATTTACATTTTCCTGATGAATAGTGAGGTTGGGTATCTTTTCATATGCTTACCGAAGACCTTATTTCTTCTGATTCTTTAGTATTTAGAGTTTTGTGACCAGATCATTTTGCTAGAAGATGGGAAAATCTGTGAAACTGGAACGCACAATGAATTGATACAGAAAAAGGGGCGATATGCCCAACTCATCCAGAGGATGCACAAGGAAGCCACACAGGTGATTTTCAGCCCCCACTCCTCCCTTCCCAGGGGAAGGACGTCCCTGCATTCACAGCATGCGCTTTCTCCCCAGAACACGTCGCAGGACGTAGCAAAGACAGCAGAGAAGTCACCGGTGGAAGGTCAAGCTGGGGCCACCCCCCAGGAAGAGCCTCTGAACGAAAATGCTGGGAATGGTGCTGGGAAACTGGGTGAGAACATCCACATGCCTGCCTGGGCCCCCAGAGGTCCGGCATTTCTTCCTTAACCCAAGACCATGTCACGTCCCTCACTGTCTGGGATGCAAGATATCTGCTCACACGGGTTATAGATCCAAGTAGTGGAGGGCTGTGAGGGTACAGGTAGTGGTGGTCAGGATGCCTGGAGGACCCAGGAAGTGGGTGTTGCAGGGGCACAGCTGATGGTGCAGAGCAGAGGCAGGGTGGGGTGTGTGTGGCTTTGGCCCCGAGTAGAGGTGATTTAAGATTTTGCAAGGCATCTGGACATGCATTCATTACACATGTGTTGAGAGCAAAGATATTGGAGATCAGAAGTGAATTGCATCCAGTCCCTGACATCTAGAAAAGTTCATGGTCTCGTCCTTTTCTGAGGCAAAGTCGTAGAATGGAAAGACCTCCATTTTTAAAGTTACGCGGTCCTGGATTAGAATCCCAGCTCTGCTGCTTACAAGGCTGTGTGGTCATGGCCATGCAACTTAACCTCTCTGAGCCCTCATTGGCAAAAGTGGCTGTAGTGGGGATTAAATGAGCTAATGCGTGGGCAGCCCCCACATGGTACCTGGCACATTGTATTGTCTCCAACAGAGTTCTTCAGGTGCAAAGATCAGAAATCCATCTGGGTCGATATAATCAGAAAACTAATTTACTGGCAGGAAAGGAAGTAGATCATAGAATGAAAGGAAAAGTTGAAGAACGAGGTCTTACCCATTCTGGGGTCTAAGTAACAGAAACTGGTGAAGAATCTTTCTTTGAATATTTTTTTGTTGTACTTTAGGTGAAGGTTTACAGAACAAGTATTTTCTCATTAAACAGTCAGTACACATATTGTTTCATGACATGGGTTAACAACCCCACAACATGTCGACAGGCTCCCTTCTTGGCCTTGGAGAAACTTTTTTTTTTTTTGGTGAAAATATACATAGTCAAAGGTACACCATTTCAAAAATTTCTACATGTATAATTCAGTGATGCTGATTACGTTCTTTCAGTTGTGCTGCTATTCTCACTTTAGATGAAGGGTTACAGAACGAAATAGCTTCTCATTAAACAGTTAGTACAATATTGCCGTATGACAATGGTTAAGAACTCCACTACATGTCAACACTGTCCTCACTCAATCTTGGGTTCCCTATCATCAGCTTTCCTGTCCCCTTCTGCCTTCTAGTCCTTGTCCTTGGACTGCTGTACCACATTAGTCCCGTTTTGTTTTATGGGGCTGTCCAGTCCCTAGCTGAATGGTGCACCTTGGGAGTGACTTCACCACTGAGCTAAAAGGGTGTCCGGGGGCCATACTCTGGGTTTCTCCAGTCTCTGTCAGGCCAGTAAATCTGGTCTTCTTTTGTGTGTTAGAATTTTGTTCTACATCCTTCACAGCTCTGTCCAGAACCCTCTTTGCGATCCCAGTCAGAGCAGTCAGTGGTGGTAGCTGGGCACCATCTAGCTGTACTGGACTCAGTCTGGTGGAGGCCTTGGTAGCTGTGACCCATTAGTCCTTTGGACTAATCTTTTCCTTGTATCCTGTTCTCGAAGAATCTTTTTGAAGAACGTTTTCCACCCTAGCGTAAGTTCTCTCAAGATTGAAATTCAGGAAGAGAGCAAACACCTAACTGGCCAGTATGGACTATGTGCCCACCCCTTGGCCAAAGGAGGGTGAGGCATCTTGATTGACAGTCCTCCCAAAACTGAGCCCAATGGAGGAGGAGTGGTTCCCCACGGAAATATTGGGGAGTTATTATTAGAAGCAGGGACAATGTCCGGCATTAGCAACAGACATCCACCACTATGCTGCTTGTTGTTGTTATTAGTAGTAATAGTAGTAATAGTAATATCTACTGGTCTCTTCAGGTACTGGTCTCGGTGCCCTGCTCTAGGCCAAGGGTCTGCCTGGGCTGGTGTCACAGCTGTTTCTTGAGGAATTGTCTCAGGAGTGTATCATCTTGCACTTGATGCAAAGCATCTTGGCCACTGTCTAGGCCTGCCATTTTTCAGATGAGGAAACTGAGGAGTTAAGTGATTTGTCTGAGGTTGCCCAGTGAGTTAGTCATGGTGACAATCCTGGAACCCAGGCTTTCTGGTCCCAGGTCTTCATTCTCTCCTGCTGCTGCTCTCAACCATCAAGCACTTGGAACCCCAGGCCCTCCAGGGTTTATTGAATGTCTCTGGAGTCCATGTCAAAGTTATCTTCCGTATGGTATTCCTGTGGAAAACTTGCCGGTTAGGGTCAGACTTGGGTGGGCAGTGCAGCTGGAAGGTGAGAAGGCTGGAAGAGGGTCACAGCCAGGGGCAGAAGGTTTTGCCAGGACTCGCCTTGATCCCCAAAGAAGATACAGGTGGTTGGGCGGCATAACCATTTTCTTCTTCTTTTACCCTGACCAGCCCCAGAGAATCAGCTCACGAAGAAGGAGAAGATGAAAGAAGATTCCCTGAGTTGGCGCGTCTATCACCACTACATCCAGGCAGCTGGAGGTACAGTCTGTCAGCTGCCCCATGCCAGGCCAGGGGCTTCCTTGGACCAGCCCTACCCTTGAAGCTGGGTCAGACTGGAACAGATAGCAGTTTGGTCTGAGTGTGCCTGTGAGGAGTAAAAATGGTGTAGGGGTGGCATCTGACTTCATCTAATTCACAAGGGAGAAGGAGAGTCAAGATTAACAGCCTAGGGTTGACTCCTATGAGGTAGAGGTCACACATGCCTCCTCTCTCTACCGTCTACCAATTCTGACACCAATGTCCATCCTACGGCACTCTCTATTTCTCTGCTGGGTTCTAAAATTCATTGCAGTGGCCACACAGAACTCACAGAAAATGCTCATGATTATAGGGTTTATTAGGGAAGTAATAGGTTACAATTCAGATCCAGGAACGCTCAGGATATAGTTCTTCCTCCAGGACAGCCTCTTTTCAGCTCTGCCCACAGGCAGGTCTCTCTCTGGCCCTTCGGCCTCTGCCCTGCTCAAGCAAGTGTTGCAAAGCTCTTTTAGCTTTGCTGTTAAGTGCCGAGGCACCCTACTCCACCAGTAAGCCTTGGCCAGAAGGTACTTAGCTTTCTCACTCGGTGGGCCGAGAAGCCCACTGCACCATCTCCTGCTGGTCTCTCCTGCAGCCGTTTCTTTGCTGCCACTTCTTGCCGTCTTCAGTGTTACGGCTCTCTCTCTCTCATTCTCGGTCTCCTGGTTCCAGGAGCCTCTCAGTACAGGGATCCTGGGACCAATGAACACGCTCAAGTCCTGGCTCTTCTTTGTTGGTAATAACGAGATCCTTAGTCATTGGTGTCTCTCTCTCTCCCCTTCACCCCAATTGACTCAAGGGCAACTACCAATAACGACAAGACCCTCTAAGCCAGGTAGACAAAGTCAGTTTCAGGTCTTGGGAAAGCACTGGAATAAGAAAATGAATAATTTCTTTTATAAGGATCAGCACAAAGCTGGTTCCTATGAGGCAGAGGTTAAAGATGTTCCAAATATCCAACTTGTCCAAATTGTATCACTCCATCATCTCTAACATCAACTACACCTCCTCTTCTTGGTACTTTCCCTCCCATCTTTGGGTTCCATAATTTGCTGCAAAGTCTCCTGAACTCAGGAATTATGGACCATATCAAAGAAATGGCTCCCGCAGTTGCGGAGGCTGGCCAGTCTCAAATCTGTGTGTCCGGCGTAGGCTTCTCCCAACCCACATGGCTGCAGAGGCTAAAAAGAGCCCAAACCAGCAGGTCAGACCACAGGCTGCTGGCTAGCAAGGCTGCAGAAACTGGCGAATCAGTTCAGATGATAGGCTGCCAGCCCATGGGGCTGTGGAAGCTGGCAAATCCCAGATTCGGCAGGTCAGACTGTAGGCCTCTGGCTCAAGTCCCAAGAACTGAAGGTCAGAAAGTAACGAATCAGATGTGGGATCCAAAGTGAAAGAAAGAGAGAGAGAGCCCTGCCAAGGCACCCACATATATAGCTTGGATGCAGGCCATACCCCAGGGAAGGGTGTAAGAGGAGTAAGGGTGGGACTTGAGTCACACCCTCTTGCAAGGCTGTGACTCAAGATACACCTCACACCAATCCTGCCTCATTAACATGTAGAGGTTAGGATTTACAACACATAAAATGGAGGATAATTACATTGGATCACAAGATGGAGGACAATCATACAATACTGGGAATCATGGCCTAGCCAAGCTGACACACAGCCCCAACCATCACAGGTTCCCTGAACCTTATTTGCGTAGTCCCACTCAGCCATTGTGTGTGAGTCACAAAGTCCTTGGCTAGGAGGGCCATATTAAGTAATTCATTGCACCACAGAGGTCTGTGGAGTGGAGAGGTACAGGGGAGTCATGCCATTCATGGGCTTCCCTTGCACAAACCCAACCATACTCAATAACTTCATCATCAGAATCGATTCTGAAACTTAGGCTTTCACGTGCATTCTTTATTTCCGTGTTTTTCGAACCGTGGATGCTGGCCCACGAGTGGATTGTGAAATCGGTTGAGCGGCTTGTGAGCAGCACTCAAAGAAATACATAGAATAGAATAGAAAACATTAGCATGCATTGATTGTTGGCGAAACTTTTATTCTGGTGTGTATTACGTGCAATTTAAAACGTATTTCTTAAGGCAGATGGCAATTAGAAGATCCAAAGCTGCTGCTTTATTAAATGGTATACATTATCATATACATTTATACATTCATACACATACAACTGTACAATGTTGTAAATACAAAACCTGGTATATGGTACTGTATTTTTTTTTTTTAACAATTTAAGAGATTTTCCAAAGTAATTTTGACTGCATGCCAATTTTTACTGTTCGTTTTTTGGAACCTAACCTTGTGTGAGGCATGTCTCCTCTCTATCTGTCTGAGGAGGAAGAGATAGGCTGTGCACAGGAGGTTACCACCCCCACCCTTCCAAAATGGGCATCTCTGGAGGGCCTAACACAGGGCCTGGCCAGAGCAGGAGAACATCAAGTGTTGTGAAATGCATGAATTAATCAAGCCACCAACTGACATGTATTTACAAAGCATCTACTATGTGCCCAGCACTGTACCAAGCTCTGGAGGGGGCAGGGTATAAGTCATCCAAGAACCAGACTCATAATTAAGCTGGAGAATGAGGACGTTTACATTCACCAGAGAGAGCTTTGTGGCCAGGCATAGTCTCAAAAAAAAAAAAAAAAAGCAAACCAAATTCGTCACCATGGAGTCAATTCCAACTCATAGCAACCCTATAGGACAGAGTAGAACTGCCCCCATAGGGTTTCCAAGGAGCGGCTGGCAGATTTGAACTGGTTTGGTTAGCAGCCAAACTCTTAACCACTACGCCATTAGATGTCATCAGACAAGAGGTGGTCCTTGAGTGCCTCCTTGAAGGAAGGGTAGAATTCTGCAATAGGAATTTGGACGTGGAACACAGGCTGTGTAGTTGGGTGGAGTGTTGGGGCAAGAGGCAGGTGCTAGGGGTTTTCCCACCCTTGTAACCCAGACAAGCCAGGGTTTGAATCCCAGCTCCATCACTCGCCAGCTCTGTGACTCTGTCCCCGCATCAATGGGGCTAGGAATGCTTCACTCAGAAATAATGTATATGGAGGTGTGTTTAGCACCGTGTCTGGCACGTGGTAGACACAACATACACGGTAGCTCGTTATCTAAAAAACTGAATACTTTTATCCTGCATGAGAGGAACTATCATCCCTGGAGTGTTGCTTACATGCTGGGCTTATCTCACATCATCTTCAGAGCAGCCTTGGGAGCTGGCCTGGCCATCACCATTTCATAGGTAAGAAAGTGGACAGCCACTGACATTTGGTACCTTGCCCAGGGTCACACAGTTTGGAAGTCATAGAGCCAGGATTTGAACCCAGGGCCCTCTGACCTTGGAACCCAGCTCTTCTGGTCCTCAAGGTGTACAAAATGGATGAAGGTCAGGGCACTCCAAGGATTCAGGACCTGGGATGGCCAGGCAGCCTCGTCAGTAGTTGCCTCTCCTCTTGCTGTGGCCCCAGGTATTGCTCAGCATCACCTGCCTCTCCGTCCCCAGGTTACACGGTCTCTATCATGGTTTGCCTTCTCATGGTGGTGAACGTTTCCCTCATGACCTTCATCCCCTGGTGGCTGAGCTATTGGTTGCAGCAGGGCTCAGGGGTGAGTGCCATAATAGGGTAGGGTGTGTTTTTGTGGGCTTGCATGGAATGGGGTGGCTTCTTGCTTCTTGTGGTGCTTCCTGTCTGCTTCCCACGAGGGCCAGAGCAGGGGCTAGGGACTCACATGGCAAGCCTAGTGCCTGCCATTGCTGAGTTGGCAAAAGCTGCTCCAAAGAGAACCTCTGGGAGCCAGGACACCAGGGTTCCCTCTGGATTCTGGCCTCCTATTTACAGAATGGGTAGTCACCTATTCAGTCTGGTTGGGAGGCACCCAAAAGGTTTCCATCCCCAAACAGGCCTCCAAGAATGCTTTATATTCCACCTTAGTGACTGTATCCCTCTGGCTTCAGCTTTGTCTCCTCACTATGCTTTATTAAAATATGCCCTTGCACTCTTGGGTGTGGGGGCTGGGAGGCTACTGCGTGCCAGGCTACTTCATTGATCTTCCCAACCACATTCTGAGGTAGGTATCACTGTCCCATTTTTCCTATGAGGAAACTGTGCCTAGAGAGGTTAAAGAACCTGTCTGGGTCTTGTAGATAAGATGTGAAGGAGCCAGGACTTGAACTTGGTGCTCTGAATCTAAGCCATATTTTCCCAAAAGCCCCACTCAGTTAACTTTTTGAGTCATGTGTCAGGCAGAATTTGGTGTGGAGACCAGTAACAAACTAAGTATTTTAGAGCTGGAGAAGACTTTCTATAGGGAACTAGAGGCTTCCATGCCATTAGAAGGGCTGAGGAGGGAAGGGAAGCAGTGACCTCAGCAGCAGGCAGCACAGAAGGGAGTGTTTCTCAGAAGGATACCTGAAAGCCACTGACAAACTCCGTGTCCCATGCACCTGCCTGTAGTAGACACCAAAGTACAACGGCTTCTCTTCTTCTGTGTTTGAAATTTCCTGTGAGTGCCTTTGCTTGGAGGACCCTAGTCTGCCATCTAGTTCCCAGGCTTCTGCCTGTATCACAGTGGAGAGCGGAGCAGAGGGCCAGGGATGATGATGGATGAGAACGAGAACCCAACTCAAACTTTTCACACCGAAACCAAAACCAAACCAGTGCCGTCCAGTCAGTTCCAACTCATGATGACCCCATGTGTATAGAGTAGAACTGCTCCATTGGGTTTTCGAAAGCAGATAGCCTGGTCTTTCCTCCAAGGTGCCGCTGGGTGGATTTGAACCTCTAACCTTTTGGTTAGTAGTTGAGCTCTTAACCATATGCACCATGCAGGGACTCCCTCTACCCCTCAGAATGACTAAATTAATGGATAATAAACAATTAATGGAGAAATGAATCCGGCCGTTTTCTACTCTGACAGGAGAAGAGAAGCAGCATTAGAATGCAGGCTGCGTTGGGGCAAAGACCCATTAAGGACAGACAATGGAAGCCATGATGGTAGCAGTGCTGAGTGTACAATAATCACTCCCGGGAGGAGGGACCGTGGGGTGGAGGGAAATGTGGAGGGGTGGTCAGGGACACAGCCCGTTAAACTATTGAAGTAGCGGTCCAGGGGACAGATGTTGTTGCTGGGTGCCGTGGGTGCCATCGAGATGATCCCAACTCAGGGAGACAATGTGACAGAGTAGAACTGCCCCACAGGGTTTTCTAGGCTGTAATCTGTACCTAAATAGATTGCCAGGTAGTTCTCCCGAAGAGCTGGTGGGTAGGTTTGAACAGCTGACCTTTCAGCAACTGAGTGCTTAACCATTGTGCCACAGGGCTCCCTGAAAAAAACCAAACATGTTGCCATAGAGTCGATTCTTAGGGGGTAGATAAGGAAGGTCTAATCCAGAGCTGCAGCAGTGGGAATGGAGAAGAAGGGAGAGTAGCCAAGGCAAGGAGCAGGGAGGTTTTAACATATGGTCTTCCGTTGTACCAGCCGCTGAATCTCATGTGGCTCCAGGGAGAATGATTTTTCTTCCCATTGAATTTCACCCCGGACTGATGTGGTCTGACTCCCTGTTCTTTCCTGAAGACCAATAGCAGCCGAGAGAGCAATGGGACCAAGGCAGACCCAGGCGAAGTGCTGGACAATCCGCAGCTGCCCTTTTTCCAGTTGGTGTACGGCGTCAGCACCCTGCTCCTCTCCTGCACGGGGATCTGTTCCTCCTTCCTCTTCACCAGGGTCACCAGGAAGGCGTCCACAGCCTTGCACAACAAGCTCTTCAGCAAGGTAGGGCTGGGGGAGCTGGGCGTGGCCACAGACTAAACCCTGCCCTTGCCTAGCTCATTTTTTTTTATTACTGTGGTACAAGTATACCTATCAACACATTTGCCAGTTGGGCAGTTTTTGCATGTACAATTCAGCGATATTGTATAATTCGTGCTGTGCAAACACTGTTACCATCCTTGCCTGAACGATTTCACCTCCGCTAACACGCTCTGTGCCCCCGAAACACTAGCTCCTCCTCCCCCCACCTCTGGTAACCACTAGGAAGCTTTGGTTTCTGTGTATTTACCTGCTTCACGTAAGTGAGATCACCCAGCTGTCGCCCTTTTGTGACCGACTTATTTCACTCAGCGTGATGTTGTCAAGGTTCATCCGTGTCATAGCGCATATTAGGACTTTTTTCTCTTTATGACTGACTAGTATTCCATCGTATGTAAAAACCACGATCGGTTTATCCGTCCGTCTGTGAGTGGACATTTAGGATGTCTCCACCTTTGGCTATTATGAACAGTGTTGCAATGAGCATTGGTGCACCCAGCTGTTTTCAAGTGCCTTCACTGGGGGAAAGGGAGCAGCCAGAGAATGAGGTGATGCGGGGAAGCTGACCTGCTGCTGGGAGAACGATTCTAAGAGTTCGGGGTCCCTTGCTGGAGGGCCAATGGCCACACCAATGCTGGCCTCTGTTGGCTGAGCACTGTCACTTACAGAGTGCCTATACTCACCCCACGCTCCCTTTGAAGTGGGTATTGGTGTTCTCATTTTACATACAAGAAAGCAGAAATGCAAAGATGTTGAGAAATTTGCCCATGTGTGTCATGGTTGGAATGCCAAATTGTCTACAGTACCACACTGCCTCTCAGAAATGTCATTTCTCTCTCTCACTTATCAGATACTGATTGAATACTTCCTATGTGCCAGGCTCTGTGCTGGGCAATGGGCTTACAATAACAACTGAGAAATTTGGAAATGGTTCTGGCCATCATGGGCTTGTAGTCCAATGGGGAGCCAGACAGGAAAACAGGCTCTTGTCATATGGTCTACAGGCTTACCACGGGGTGGGTGGACACAGGCCCATGAGAATGTGGACAGGCACCTAACTCTGACTTAGGGGTAGTAGAGGGAAGAGGGAGTGTCTAGGAAGGCTTCTTGGAGGAAGTGACCTCTTAGCTAAGACTTGAAGGATGAGTTGGATTTAGCCAGCTCACAACTGGGAGGCTGGAGGTGAACAAAAGCAGAGCTTTCCTGGGAACTGAAAGGAGTTCAGGAAGGCTGGACTTGGAGGTGTGGAGTAGGGGTTCTGACAGAGGTTCTCAGGGGTGAGGAGGTGACCCATCAGTTCTCCTAGACAGAATGCAAATCGTATTGCCCTTAAGAGTGTCAGTTTTGGAAGGATGAGGTGGAGGCATTTCCCCACATCTCAGAGAAAGCAGTTGGCTTGTCGGAACCAGAGCCGGAGAGGAAGAGTCCTCCAGATGCTTGGCACTCTGCCAGCCCTTGATGGTGACACCCAACAAGATGGTCTCTGGGGTTCTTTTGATTCCACACTCCATGATTCCAGAAATATCCGGTGCCCAGGCCTCAAAGTGATTTTTCAGATTTTCATTTTGAGAAGTGTTCAAGTTTCCTTCCCGTCAGAAAGTGTATTTCATATTTAACATGTTTTCCTTTTCCCCTTCCTTCATGGCTTTATGGATTTTCAACGTGCCTTTGTAGTTTTAGAGAATCACAAGCAAAGGACAAATCTCGGAGAAAACTGACTTAACTCCAAAGACAGCAACAAACAAAACAAAACCCTCGAATTACTCTGACCCATAGGAGGCAATCAGAATCACTTTTCCCTGTGTTCCCAGTTTTCCCTCATCCCTAATGCGAGTGACAGTGGCCTCTTGCATTCTGTGAAGGATGTGGCTGTGCTGGAGATTGGGGAGGACTCAGGGGGCCCACTGCAGCCATTGTTTTGCTGTTATCTACTTGGGTGACCTTGAGCAAGTCACTAAGTCACCGCTCCTTCCTCTGGGCCTCAGCTTCCTCATCTGTGATATGAAGGTGCTGGACGAGATACCTTTGTTAGAGCTCTTTCAGTTTGAAATGTTCTTTGACCTTCCAAGAGCCTCATGCCCACTGGGAGTGCCACCTTCCAAGGGGTCAAAAAACCCAAACCCATTGCCATGAGTCAGTTCTGACTCATAGTGACCCCATGTGTTACAGAGTGGAACAGCTTGATAGGGTTTTCTTGGCAGTAATCTTTTTTTTTCTTTAATTTTTTTTATTGTACTGTAGATGAAGGTTTACAGAACAAATAGTTTCTCATTAAATAGTACGCATATTGTTTTATGACATTGATTAACAATCCCATGACATGTTAACACTCTCCCTTCTCAAACTCGGGTTCCCTATTATCAGATTTCCTGTCCCCTCCTGCCTTCTACTCCTTGTCCCTGGGCTGTTGTGCCCCATTAGTCTCATTTTGTTTTATGGGGCTGTCTAATGTTTGGCTGAAGGGTGAACCTCGGAAGTAACTTCATTACTGAGCTAAAAGGATGTCCGGGGGCCATACCCTCGTCCATCAGGCCAGTAAGTCTTGTCTTTTTCTGTAAGTTAGAATTTTGTTCTACATTTTTCTCCAGCTCTGTAGGGGACCCTCTGTTGTGATCCCTGTCAGAGCAGTCAGTGGTGGTAGCTGGGCGCCGTCTAGTTGTACCATATTCAGTCTGGTGGAGGCCATGGTGGTTATGGTCTCGTTAGTCCTTTGGACTTATCGTTTCCTTGTATCTTGTTCTCGTCATTCTCCCTTGCTCCCAAAGGGGCAAGACCAGTGGAGTATCTTAGATGGCTGCTCACAGGCTTTGAAGACCTTAGATGCTACTCACCAAAGTAGAATGTAGAACATTTCCTTTATAAACTATGTTATGCCAATTGAACTAGATGTCCTCTGAGACCATGGTCCCCACGTTGGCTGTTCTCGTAACTAAAGCCAATGGTCAGGCCTGTCTTCTGTGATGCCACTGAGTGGGATCAAACCGCCAACCTTTAGGTCGGTAGTTAAGCACAAACCGTCTGCGCCGCCTGAGGACCCTTCTCGGGGGCAGTTGGCCTGAGCGTCTGTGTCGTAAGAAGTCGCAGTGGAATTGCTGCTACTGTGCTCATCTGTGGCAACGCTGAGTGAAAATGGGTCAATTGCAGGAAATCATAAGAGCTGGTGTTGGTGGTAGGCTTACAAGGGGACGGGCATTGCTCCAAGCACGCTCACTGCATTGCCTCTGTCTCTCTCTTACTGTGGTGTACACAACAGAACCACTTTCAAGTGTACAATCCAGGGGCACTAATCATGCTCACAGTGTGGTGCAACCGTCACCACTCTTGGTATCCCAAACTTTTTCATCACCCCAAATTGGGAAACTCTGTACCCATTATTTCTCCTTTTCAGATACCAGCTCTGTTGAGATATAATACACCTACCATGAAATTCATCACTACACTGTGCAGCATCGTTATAACCTCAATTTCAGAAATCAGGGCCCTGGGGCTCAGAGGAGTTAAGTAACTGGCTCCAGGTCACACAGCAGTAGGTGGAGGAGCGGGGGAGCACTGGAGCCCAGGAAAATTGACTCAGGAGCCCATGGCCTAAATCACTGCTCTACGCTGCCTCCGAAGGCCCCTCATGCTTCTTCCTGCAACTCTTCAGAGCCTAAGGGTGACAGTATCTTCATCAAGTTCCATGCAATGCCTGCAGCTACTCTCATGGTCCAATTAATTTTGTCCCGCAGGTTTTCCACTATCCCATGAGTTTCTTTGACACAACCCCAATCGGCCGACTCTTGAACTGCTTTGCGGGGGACCTGAATGAGCTGGACCAGATCTTGCCTATGGTTGCTGAAGAGTTCCTATTCTTGGTTTTATTGGTGATCTCCATCCTGTTCATTAACAGTGTGCTGTCCCCGTATATCCTGGTAATCGGAGCCATACTTGCTGTTCTCTACCTTCTTTTTTTTACGTGAGTGGGTTCCTTTTGCTTGTGAGTGGGGCTGTGACTTGGGGTGTGAGGCTGGGACCAACCCAGAATTGGATGGTCCCAGAGGTGAATGGCTCAGGTCACTCACCTTCATTCTTGGTGCAGGATGTTCAAAAGGGCCATCGGTGTGTTCAAGAGATTGGAGAACTACAGCCGGTCTCCTTTTTTCTCCCACATCCTCACCTCTCTGAGTGGCCTGAGCTCCATCCATGTCTATGGAAAAACTGAGGACTTCCTCCACCAGTAAGTCCTGCTATTGTCCATCTGAGGATGATGGGGGCTGCGGTGGTGGTGAGGAGCGGGAAGGTAGGAAACAGAGCATCTGGGAGTAGCGTCATTTTCAGAAGCATCAGATAGAACTTTGTTTTATTCCATTTGCTTCTCTGAGCCTCCAGAGTCTCATCTGTAAAACGGGGACAAGGGTCCCTATCCTCTCCACTCTTATGGTGCTCATAAGAATAAAAAATGTAAGTGATGTGAAAAATGTAAACAATTAGCAATTATATTAATAATTGCTAAATCTAAGTGGAGGCTATATACAGACATTCATTAAACCAACCTTTTAATTTTTTATAGTTATAAATATTTTCACAAGAAACGACTAGGCAAAAATAAGGGATGCTTCTATTAGCTCATATAAATGAAGAATCTAGAAGGAGGACTGACTTCAGGTGAGGCTTGATCCAGAAGACTCTGTCTGTTTTCCTGCTATGCCTTCCATGGTGTTAGTTTTAGCCTCAGGACCTTGGAGACTCTATGGCAGCCCCAGGATCCCCTCATGGCATCAAAGTGGCTGCAGTAGTGTCAGACCTCCCTTCATCCTACTAGGGAAATCTCTCCCCTTCACCCACTCACAAATCCTGGTAGTTATTGACTTGCATTGACCCAGTTGGGCAATATGCCCACCCTTGAACCAATCATTGAGTCCAACAGAAGAGCATGGAAGGTCTGGGTTAGACAGACATATGTGTCTTCAGGGTGTGTTTTTTTCTCAGGTTTAAAAGGCTGACTGATGAACAGAGTAACTACCTGCTGTTGTTTCTGTCCTCCGCACGATGGGTGTCATCGAGGCTTGAGATCATGACCAATCTGGTGACCTTTACTGTAGCCTTGTTCATGGTTCTTGGCATTTCTTCCACCTCCTATTCCTACAAAGCCATGACTATCAGCCTTGTCCTGCAGGTGAGAGACGGCCCTTAGACAACCAGGGTTCTCCTGGGCTGTGCTGACCCCTGGCCTGCGGCCTCTGGGCAGTCTCAGGGGTCCATGGGACTTTGATCACATCTTGGGTTTTAGCCATCTTATGAGCTATGCGCTTAGCCTTCTGAATGCAGCTCCTTTGCTCCATTTCCTGATGTCACCTCTGAATTTGGAAGTCTGCATTTAAAGGTGTTTAATGAAATCATGGAACATTGGGATTGAAGGGATCTCATAGGCAACAGAGACCAACCCTCGTGAAGAAGGGGAAACTGAGGCCCAAAGGGGAAGAGTAGTCCAAATGGACAGATTGTTAGAAGCACAGCCAGGACGAGAACCTGACTTCTTGGTTTCCTGGCTAATGTCTTCTTACTTCACTGTTCAGGCCCTGATTCAGTTCTCAAACTTTTGTGAATGTCTGGGGAGGTTGTTAAAAATGTAGGCTTCCCTAGAGCAGGGCTTCTCAAACTTTAGTGTGCGTAAGACTTAAAACAGATTCCTTGGCCCTGTCCGTGGACATGTTGCTCAGCCTGGGTCTGGGAGGGGCCCACAGGAGGTCCACACCTGGAGGAGCACTGCCGTAGAGATTGTGGGTCAAGTCTTGGGGAGAAGGTGGAATTTAATTTTAAAGACGAGTCCTCTAGAGGATTCTGATGTAGCTGGTCTCTGTACCTTCCTTGGAGAAACATGGCCTGAATTCCTCTTCTCAGGGCTGCACTGGGTATTTGGGGCACGGAGTGGGAGGGCTGTTTAAGGCTCATCGTCCACAGAAACCCATGGAAGGGCTGTCCATCCAGGGCTGCCTCAGGGATCCCCCCCTGGGGGTTATACATTACCCATCCTCTCTGTGAGTCATGCAGCTTTCTTTCTAACAGCCTGGGATCCAGTGTGTGACTCACTGAGTTTTCCATCAGTCCCCAGTGCTGAGACATTATTTTCACATGCTAAGGGGCATTCCTGGATCCTTGTTGAGCCCCCTGCAGCAGGCACAGGTATGCACAAAAACACTCCTACACATAGGCCTGCATGCGCAGAACCTCCTGCAGGCAAGTAGGGGTGGGTTGTGCAGTGCTCAGTCATAGACACCTACCGAGTACAATACTAAGTGGATTTAATGAGAGCGTTCACTGAGCCCTCAGTATGTTGATGTGCTTCCTTCATTTAATTCTCACTACACTCCAAATACATCCTTGAATATATCCCAGCTTAATTTAGAGACCATCTTAAGAATAGATATGACGCGCTGAACACTAATGACCGAAGACCAGAAGAGTTGTGGGATGACATCCAGGTCAACATACATGAAGAAAGCAAAAGGTCATTGAAAAGACAGGGGAAAAAAAAAAAAGAGAGAGAGAAAACCTTAATGGATGTCAGAAGAGACTCTGAAACTTACTCTTGCCATAGAGTAGATAAAGCAAATGGAAGCAGTGATGAAGTAAATAAGAAAGAAGATTTCAAAGGGTGGCGCAAGCAGACAAAGTAAAGAATTATAATGAAATGTGGAAAGACCTGGAGTTAGAAAACCAAAGAAGAAGAACACGCCCAGAATTTCTCAAGCCTGAAAGAGCTGAATTAAAAATTCAAGCCTCGAGTTGCAGTTTTGAAGGATTCTATGGGCAGAAAATTGAATGACACGGGAAGCATCAAAAGAAGATGAAAAGCAATGAAAACTATAAAACACTGCTGAAAGAGATTAAAGAAGACTTAAATGAATAGAAAGATGTTCCATGTTCATGGATTGGAAGACTGAAATTGTTAAGATGTCAGTACTACCCAAAGCTATCTACAGATTCAACACAATCCTGATCAAAATTCCAACAGTCTTCTTTACCGAAATAGAAAAACCAATCCTCAACTTTATATGGAATCGAAAGAGGCCCTGAATAGCTACAGCAATGTTGAAAGAGAAGAACAAAGTAGGAGGACTCATACTTCCTGATTTTAAAACATGCTATACAGCTACAGTAATCCTAACAGCCTGGTACTGGTATAACAATAGACACATAGACCAATGGAATGGAATTAAAAGTCCAGAAATAAACCCACACATCTATGGTCAACTGATTTTTGACAAGGGTGCTAAGTCCATTTGATGGAGAAAGAAGAGTCTCTTCAATAAATGGTGCTGGGAAAATTGGATTCCACCTGCAGAAAAATGAAACAGGATCCATGCCTCACACCATACACAAAAACAAATTTAAAACGGATTAAAGACCAAAATGTGCAAACTAAAACCCTAAAATTCTTACAGGAACAAGCAGGGGCAATGCTGTCAGGCCTAGCTTTTAACAAATCCATTGCCATTGAGTGGATCACGACTCACAGCGCCCCTATAGGACAGAGCAGCACCGCCCCACAGGCTTTCCAAGGCTGTAATCTTTAAGGAAGCCAACTGCTACATCTTTCTCCAGAGGAGCTGCTGATGGGTTTGAACCGCTGACCTTTCACTTAGCAGCCAAGCACTTTAACCACTTCGCCAGCACTCCTTGGCTTTTAACGATGGATTATCAAATGTAATAACAAAAGAACAAACAGCAAACGACAAAATAAATAAATGGGACCTCATAAAAATTAAAAACTTTTATTCATCAAAAGACTTTACCAAAAAAGTGAAAAGACAAGCTACTGACTGGGAGAATATCTTCAGAACCATACATCTGACAAGAATCTACTAACCAAAACATGTATAAAACTTCAACAACTTAACAACAAAAAGACAACCCAATCATAAAATGGGCAAAGGACTTGAATAGACATTTCACCAGAGGATGATCAAATGGCCACTGAACACAAGAAATGATGCTCAACATCGTTAACCATCAGAGGGATGCAAATCGAAACCGCAATCAGATACCACTAGAATGACTAAGATTAAAAAAACAAAAAACAAAAAAATAGAAAATAACAAATGTTGGTGAGGATGTTGGGAAATTGGAACCCTTACCCATTGCTGATGGGAATGCAAAATAGTACATCCATTGTGGAAGACAGTGTGGCAGTTCCACAAAAAACTGAAAATAGAACTACCATATGACCCAGCAATTCCACTTCTAGGTATATACCCGAAAGACTTGAAGGCAGGGAGAGTCAGAGGCTTGCCCACCAATGTTCATTGCAGCACTGTTCACAATAGCCAAAAGGTGCAAACAATCTAAATGTCCATCAGCCGATGAGCGGATAAACACAATGTGGTACATACATACGATGGAATACTGCTCAGCCAGTATGCGAAATGGAGTCTTGATACGTGCTGTACTATGGGTGGGGCTGGAAGATGTTACTCTGAGTAAAATAAGTCAGCCGCGAAAGGACAGATATTGTATAACCTCACTTATATAAAGACAAGAAAAGGCAGATGCACAGAGAACAAAGTTTATTAGTGGTTACCTGGGTGGGAGGTAGGGGGAAAGGGAGGGTTTGCGGTAACGGAAATACCACATTGATGAAGGGTACGGTTGCACAGCCGATTACTGTAATTTCTGTCAGTAAGTTGTACACCTGCCAGGGAGCCACCGGTGGATTCGAACTGCTGACCTTTTGGTTAACAGCGGAGCACTTAACCATTGCACCACCCAGGCTCCTTACCTAGGGACCAGGACGTGTGAACCAAACTAATGACGTGATCCAATCCTGCTGGGCGTGGGAGAGCCGATTCCATCCACGCTGGGACACGCGGTGTGGGAGAGCCGATTCCATCCACGCTGGGACACGCGGTTTACTAGTACGTTTAGTTTCTTAGGTTATTGAGTGCACCTTTCCCTAAGCACTTACGGCTATATTTTTAAAATACTATTTTAGATTAATAAAAATAATACATGCCGACTCATAAAAATTCGGACACTACAGACAAGTACAAAGAAAAATGTTAAAAGTCACCCACTCTCCTTCATCCAATAAAAACCTTCATTACCAGCTGATCTTCACTCCAATTCTCTCTCTACATATTTATGCAGATAGAAGGTTATCTAGATAAATAGCTTAAAAATATGTATTTATAAAAAAAGATATTAAAATGATAGTTTATAAAAAATTTTAAAATTTACTGTATTTGTGTTTAACAGTAGAAGAAATGAATTAAAATGAAAATACAATAATTTCTAAATTACTGAATGGGAGAGAAACATTTCTCTTATTATTATTGTGTATTATTTTTCTTAAATCATGAAAAGCATGCTATGGATTGAACTATGTCCCCCCAAAATATATGTTGTAAATCCTAAACTCTACACTTGTGAATGTAATCCCATCTGGGAATAGGGTCTCCTTTACTACGTTAATGAGGCCATATCCGTGTAGGGTATGTCTTAAACCAATCACCTTTGCGATCTGAAAGGAGCAGATTAACCTCAGAGAAGCAAGCAGAGACGGGGGTGGGGCATGGGGGTGGGGTGGGGGGACAACAGATGCCAAACCACAGGAAGATCGCCAAGGAACCAAATAATAGAAGCTCAACGGAGACAAGAACCTTTCCCCAGAGATAATGTAAATGAAGATAATATTCAGATTGTCAAGGATTTCATTTTTACTTGGATCCACAATCAACGCCCATGGAAGCTGCAGTCAAGAAATCAAACAACATAGTGCAGTGGGCAAATCTGCTGCAGAAGACCTCTTTAAAGTGTTAAAACGCAAAGATGTCACTTTGATGACTAAGGCGCCCCTGACCCAAGCCATGGTCTGTTCAATCACCTTAGATATATGTGAAAGCTGGACAATGAAAAAGGAAGACTGAAGAATTGATGCCTTTGAATCACCGTGTTGGCAAAGAATATTGAATACACCATGGACTGCCAGAAGAACAAACAAATCTGTCTTGGAAGAAGTACAACCAGAGTGCTCCTTAGAAGGGAGGATGGCGAGACTTTGTCTCTCTTATTTTAGACTTGTTATCGAGGTGGGGAGGACCAGTCCCTGGAGAAGGACATCAAGCTTGCTAAAGCAGAGGGTCAGCAAAAAACAAGACCCTTAATGAGATGGATTGACCCGGTGGCTGCAACAATGGGCTCAAACCCACTTACTATTGGGAGCATGGCACAGGCCCCAGCAACATTTCCTTCTGTTCTGAGTAGGGTCACTCTGAGTCAGAACTGACTTGATGGCACCCAACAACAACAACGACCCTCCTGCATGAGATACAGGGGTTAAGAGCCTGTGCTTTGGAATGTCTAGGTTCAGACCAGCCGCTGCCACTTACCAGCTGTGTGACTTTGAGCAACTTCGTTCCACCCCCGTGCCTGGGATTCTCCTCTGTAAAACGGTGAGAATAAATGTACCTAAATCACACACTTGTGAGGAATATGTGCAAACCTGAGGGTTAATACATGTAAAATACCTAAAATAGTGCCTTGTGTAGTGCAGAATAAATGCTCAATAAACGTTAGCTGTTATTGTTCCTATCTTACAGATCAGGAAACTGAGGCTTAGAGAGTTTAAGTAACTTGCCCATGCTCCCACAGCTAGAAGGAGGCAGCTCTTTCCATAAGGCTCAATCTCTCAATCAATCTCTCTTTCTAAGCTTGCCTCTCTTTGACACACACTCCACACACACACACACACACACACACACACACACACACACACACACACACACGTACCACCTGCTATGCTGTAGCGCAGAATTACTCCCAAGATTTCTGGTACTCTGGGGGAGAGAAAACAGAAAGAAAGCAAACAGAGAGTACTGGGAGTGGAGCGGTGTCAGGGGGATCCTTGCCTGGGTCTGCCCACCACAGCTGCAGCGAAACTCAGAAGTGGGCTGAGGGGGCGCCGGGACACCTGCTCCCTGTCCTCAGGGAAGTGGTCTTGCTTTGAGGAGTGGGGGAAGGGCCATGAGTGGTTTTCAGGGCGATGAGAGCGTGAACACCTCCAGCAGTCTCTGGATCTCTTGCTGCTTCTCTTGGTTCCAGCTGGCGTCCAAGCTCCAGGCCACTGCCCGGTTTGGTTCGGAGACAGAGGCGCGCTTCATGGCTGCAGAGAGGATGCTACAGTACATGAAGGTGGGGCGCAGGTCCTGTCTGGGGGGGAAAGCTCTACAAGGCTCCACATCCCTGCATGGGGCATACCTTCTGGGGCGTCTGCACCCCCAGGCCCTCCCTCCCCATCTCCCTGGACCTTCGCACCCCACCTCTCTGAGGTCTTCAGACCTTCACCACACCCGTCACATCTCCACTGCTGATGCAGAGGGAGTAATTCGCCTGTTTAGGAAAGGGAGGTTGTAGACTGCCCAAGAGTCACAATAACAGCAAATAGTTGTTATTATTATTGTTATAATAATTGGACAGTAATCATTGTTACAATAATAACTATAACCCAAAAAACCAAACCAATGGCTGTCGAGTTGATTCGGACTCATGGTGACCCATGGGTGCAGAATAGACAATCCCTTGTGGTGCTCCATAGAGTTTTCAAGGCTATGCCCTTTCAGAAGCAGATCACCAGGCCTTTCTTCCAAGGCCCCTTTGGGTGGGTTTGAACTGCCAACATTTTGGTTAGTAGTTGAGTGCTTAATTGTTTGTGCCGCCAAGTGACTCCTAATAATTATTATTATCTATTATTATTGTTATTCTATCTATGTCAGAGAAGTCAGGAGCACAGATTCTGGAGTCAGAGTGCCTGGGTTCAAGTACTAGCTTTGCCGCTTGGATTAGCTGTCTAACCTTGGGCAAGTTATTCACCCTCTCTGTCTCCCGTCCTGAAATGGGACTGATAACAGTATTTACTTCATTGGGTTGTTTCGCAGGTAAATGATACACAGTGTGAAGTACTTAGAGCAGCACCTGGTCCAGAGGAAACTGTCAGTAATGTTCGCTACTGTCACTGAGCCGTTTCTACGTGCCGGATTCTGTGCCAAGCCCTTTATAGATCATCTCACAGAATCACAAAACAATTCTATGAGGCCGGATGAATTATTACACACATTACCCGGATGAGGAAACTGAGGCTTGGTTACTCTGAGCATCTTGTTGAAGATCACACAGCCAGGGGCTGGCAGAGCCCCCGCCCCTAAAGCCGGGTCTCCTGCCTGTTACGGGAGGGGGCGACGCTGCTGTGACATTGCACAGGCAGCAGAGAGCCGTGACGTGCAACCTGGAGCCCCCGCTTCTCCTCCAGTGTTCTTTCCTCCCAATGTGCTCCGCGGCTCCCGGGGGGAAGAGCAGCGGATTTGGAGTCAGGCCAGCCTGGGACCTGGGGTTGAGTCCCGGTTCGTTCTCTCATAAGCTGTGTGATCTGCGCCTCTACTTGCTCACCTGTGAAATGAATCTAAAAATGCCCACCTCACGGGCTGAGGACAGAGAGGGATGAACCAGAGTGAGGACGCTGAGCTGTGAAACACGCCCTCTTGGTGGCTTAGCTCTGCGGCCCTCAGCAGCACTGTTCTGGAGTCTATATAAAACCTCCCAGAACGAATCAGAGAACAGTGGGCTAAGTTACAATGAGCGGGCAGCTCTCTGGGCCACTCGTTCTTCTGGGACAAAATTATGAGCATTTCAGGGGAGTAAGGGAATGTTCTGGAGTACAGGGACCTTTTGGGGTTCCTCTGGTCACGCAGCGGGGGCTCGAGCAGGGTGCTGGGCAGGCTGGGTGAGTGACACCACAACACTGAGGCCGGAGGGTCGGCGGGGACAGGCCAAGGGGGATGACAACTACTGATTCCTTTTTCCCTTCTTTAAACATGAGATGGGTGTCCCCGAGGCTCCTCTGCCCGTGGAAGGTGTGAGCTGTCTTCATGGGTGGCCGCAGCGCGGAGAAATCACCTTCCAGGATTATCAGATGAAATACCGAGACAACACACCTATTGTCCTGGATGGCATCAACCTGACGATTCACAGCCAGGAAGTGGTGGGCATCGTGGGACGGACGGGTTCTGGTGAGCTGAGCGGCCGGGCCGTTCCCTGTCCTGTCCTCTGGACTTCGGGTGCCAGATTTATTTTGGGGCTTGTGTTCGCAACAAGTTTTTTTAGGGTCCTCACTCTGTGCTGGGCCCTGGCGTTAGTGTGGTGACCCGAACCCCAAAGTCCCTCCTTCACGGAATTCCAGTAGGGGAGACAGTTGTGAAGTCACTGAATTAAGAAATAAACAAGATAATCACAGGGCCGTGGTGATGACCTGAAGGAAACAAGTGGGTGGTGTTATACTGAGTCCCGGGGTTGGTGGGCCACCTGAGCTATGGTGGCCTGGGCTGTGAGGTGACATTTGAGCTGAGACTTGGAGAGGGACCAGAATCCAGGAGAGGAGCGCTTTAGGCTGGGGGCAGTGCATTCATGTGCAGGCTCTGGGAAGGTGGATAGCAGGGGGCGAAGAGTGACATCTGCAGATATGTGGCTGGATTTGATCCAGAGGCTCCATTGGTGACCTTTGACGCAGACTGTAAGAAAACTGCTCGTGTTTTGGGCTCCACTTAAAGTGGAGACCCCAGCCCCCTTCTGCCCTCTCAGTGGTCACAATGACAAAGAATGGGCCATGGAGGGGGTGGGTCCACTGAGAATGCCCCTAGTGCAGACTCAGGAAACGGAGACTCATTTGTTTCTTGCCAACAGGGAAGTCCTCCTTGGGAGTGGCTCTCTTCCGCCTGGTGGAGCCCACAGCAGGAAGGATTCTCATCGACGGTGTGGATACCTGCAGCATTGGCCTGGAGGAGCTGAGATCCAAGCTCTCGGTTATCCCTCAAGATCCTGTCCTGCTCTCTGGAACCATCAGGCAAGTACTGCACCAGAGGCCTTGGTGGTGTAGTGGTAGAAGTCTCACCTTTCATGGGGGAGACCCAGGTTTGATTCCCAGCCACGACCTGAAGCACAGCTGCCACCTGTCTGTCAGTTGTGGTTTGTGAGTTGCTGTGATGCTGAACAGGTTTCAGTGGAACTTCCAGACTACAATGGGCCAGGAAGAAAGCATTGATGATCCACTTCCAAAATTCAGCCAGTGGAAACCCTACAGATCACAATGGTTTGATCCACAACCAATCGGGGGACGGCGCGGGTTGGGCAGCATTTTGTCCCATTGTGCAGGGGGTCACCGTGAGTCCAGCGCTGGCTCGACAGCAGCTACCAACACCAATAGGCCTGATGCCCATTTGATGCAGAGGACTGACTCCAGGAAGGGTCGCAAGATCAGGATTCCAGATCAGGGCTACCTCTAATTAGCTAGTGACCCTGGGACAGTGCCTCAATTTCTGGGCCTCAGATCTCTCCTTGGCAAATGGGGTCCCTCGTGCCTACCTGGCCCACCTCACTGAGGTGTCCTTGAGGTTTGAATGAGGCCCTCATTTACACAAGAGCACTCGTCAACTCTAATGCCCCCAACAAAAGCAAGGCATAATTTTTTAAACACCTGATGGCTTGGTCAAATTTCAGTTCACAATTAAGTATTGGCACTGCAACTGCCATATGCGCTTGAGTCCGGATGGGGCCGATTCTCTTCTCTCTACCCACTGAGGAAAGGCCTTGGAGTTTCAGGCTAGAGGTTAAGAAGTAGTTCTTCACAGTGACACAGTCTGGGCAGTGCAGAAGTGGGAAATAATCCCGACAGACCAGTCAGTGAAGCAGACAAGAACGGAGCTTCCAGACTCTTCATACACTTTCCATTTCCTCAGAAGTCAACTTGGAGGGCTACTTTTTATCCAGATTAGTACTTCTACCTGGCAATCTACTTTAGCTGTGCAGAAACATAAAGGCATGGAGACTGGGGAAGATGGGGAATCTGTGCTTTTCTTTTTATTTCCCACCAGCACTGCTATTTATTTCCAAAATTTTCTCATCATCCCAATCAATAAACAATAACTCCTCATCCCCCTCTGGCCTCAGCCCCTGGTAACCACTATCTACTTTTTGTCTCCTTATATTTGCCTATTTGAGATATTTCATCTATGTAGGATCATACAATATTTTTGTCCTTTGTGTCTGGCTTACTTTTCTCAGATTAATGATTTTAAGATTCATCCATATCGTAGCATGTATCAGAACTTCATTTATCTTAATGACTGAATAATATTAACTTGTATATGTCCACCACAATTTGTTCATCCATTCGTCTGTCAATGGACACTTGGGTTGTTTCCAGGTTTGGCTGTTGTGAATAATGCTGCAATGAACACTGGTGTACAAGGGTCCGTTGGAGTCTCTGTTTTCACTTTTTTGGGTGTATAATACCTAAGAGTAGAATTTCTGGGTCGTATGTTAACCCTGTTGCCATAGTGGTTAAGAGTTATGGCTGTTAACCAAAAGGTCAGCAGTTCAAATACACCAGGCGCTCCTTGGAAACCCTATGAGGCAGTTCTACTCTGTCCTATTAGGGTCATTAGGAGTCGGAATTGACTCGACAGCAACAGGTTTGGTTTTTTTTATGGTAATTCTGTGTTTAATTTTTTAAGGAACCACCAAATTGTTCGCTAAAGCAGCTGTGCCATTTCCAATCCCACCAGCAGTGGATGAGGTTCCAGTTTCTCCACATCCTTTGCCAACACTTGTTACTTTTCTTTTCTTTTTTTTTAATAGCAGCCATCTTACTGGGCGTGAAGCTGTATCTCATTGTGGTTTTGATTTTCATTTTCCTAACGACTCATGATCCCTGACTGGCACAAAAGGTTAAGCACTAGACTACTAACTGAAAGACGGGTGGTTCCAGCCCACCCAGCGGCATCTGCTTCTGAAAGGCCACGAAAACCCTGTGGAGCGCGGTTCTACTCTGCACCCACGGGGCCGCCACGAGCCGAAACCAACTTGATGGCAACTAACAACAGTTGACCGTTTGTATCTTTTCTTTGGAGAAATGTTCAGTCAATCCTTTGCCCGTTTGTAAACTGTATTGTTTGTCTTTTTGTTGTTGAATTGTAGGGATCTATGCTTTTTATGCTTTAGAAAATAAGCTAAATCTGAACCCGTTTCAAGAGTATTTAAGGGGCATTCACAGAGGCAGGAGGATAGACTGACCACCAGAGAGTCCTTCATTCATTGATCCTTTTATCCATTTAACTTACTTTTCTGAGTCTCTGCCAGGGGCCAGACACTGTGCTAAGAACTGGGGATGCTGTGATGAATGAACAGGTCTGCTGATCCCCCGGAGAGCTCACAATCGACTCCGTGTGTGTGTGTGTGTGTGTGTGTGTGTGTGTGTGTGTGTGTTACAGTGTGAGTAGATGTGTGACCCAACAAATTAGAATATAAGGAGGTAAATGCTAGATGAGAGATATGAACACAGTGCTAAGGGAGCCAAGAAGTGGGGCAATCAACTCCGTCTGGGTGAATCCAGGAAGGCTTCACAGAGGAGGGGACATTTGAGCAGGGTCTTGAAGGATGAGTACAGCCCACCCGGCAGAAAAAGGAGAAAAGTCTTTCTAGGAGGAATGAACAATGTGTGCACAGACACAGGGTCTCAAAGGACTGTGTTTTGTTAGGGGAATGAGGAAATGTTTGGTGATAGATTTCTGTGTTAAGGTAGAACTCAGCTAGTATTACTGTGCCTGGGTATAAAAGTAGTAAAAATATGAACCAATATTTATTGACATTTGTATGTGCCAACCCTACACTTTAAATTGCTGTCTTTAACTGTCGCAAGAACTCTATGAGGTAGGCATGATGAAACCCATAAAAAAAAACCTGTTGCTGTCGAGTTGATTCCGACTCATAGTGACTCTATAGGACAGAGCAGAACTGTCCCATAGGGTTTCCAAGGAACACCCGGTGGATTCGAACTGCCGACCTTTTGGTTAGCAGCTGTAACTCTTAACCACTACACCACCAGGGTTTCCAGGTACGATTATTATCCCCATTTTACAGGTGCGGGCACTAAACTTAGAGAGGGCAAGTGCCTTCTCTAGGGACACACAAAAGTAAACAGTACATTTAAGAGGTGACCACAGGTAATCTCACCCCATAACCTGTTAAATTTCCCCTGGGCTGCAGGGGGAGATATGGACTAGAATCCAGGAGATCTGGGTCCTCTACCCTTTAAGGCTCCCTCTACCTCTGAGTGTCTTTCTTTGCAGTCTGCCTGTCATCCTGATGTGACCAAAAAAAGCCACTTAGCACTGAAAATCCACAGTGAGAGGGGTCTCAGTAGAAAGACACGTCTCTGACCATTGCATGGGGGAGAGGCTGTCAAAAGGGCCAGTCTGTGAAAATGCCTTGGAGAGAATCACTTATCCTGTAAATCAAGAATTATTCTACCTGATACTTCTTTAATACAATCCAGCCCTACACACAAAACATGTGGCTTCCAGAAGCAGGAGGAGATAAAGCAGTGGTGAAGAACAGGTTTCAATCAGGGCTCAGTGGTCGTGTAACAGGGAAGTATTTATAATGTGCCTGTGCTAAATGAAAGTGCAGACCTTATTGGGTACAAAACGTAGATTAATCCCAACCTGATGTCAGTTGCCTGGATGATCAATTAGGATTCTTTCCACTGCAAGAGAAAGAAAAACCAACCCCAAGTGCCTTAAGGAAAAAGGCCTCTATGGACTCACAATACTGGGAAGGCCGTGGCTGCATTCAAGGACCAGTTCCCCCTAGCTCTGCCTTGCTTTCATTTGCAGGCTCTACCTGGAGGCCTCTGGAAGCTCCAGGTATCCCACTTCCGGTGGCAAAACAGCTGCAAGCTCCTCCCTTCAGTCCAGGGGAAAGAGCACGCCCCTTTTCTGGTGGCTGGCTGCCTCCTAAGTCCTGAGATACACTCTGATTGGTTACCATCCCCTGTAGTTGGTGGTAGAGCTCCACCTGGACCACACGGGGTCTCACCTGGGTGGAGGTGGATCCCCGAAAAAACGTGGGGGCTGTTGTCTGCAGAAGAAGGAATAGGTGCCAGGGAGGCACAAGAGCGGATCATTCATGGTGCTTCCATGGGTTTCCCGAAACGCCTCCTTCCCCACCCTCTCCCAGTCACGCAGTTCCAGCCATTCTTGGTGACTTTCTATGTATAGGACAGAGATCTCAGGGACCAAGTGAGGCCGTTGAACATTCTCCTCCTCTCTTATGGCAGATTCAACTTAGATCCCTTCGGCTGCTGCACGGACGAGCAGATCTGGGATGTCTTGGAGAAGACATTTCTGGCCAAGACAGTAAGTAGCTCCCAAGCCTAGTTCTTGGTTGTCGCCTGCCTCTCAACAGGGGAACTGGCCTTTGGGGGCTCCCCTCACATGATATTTCAGATGCTGCTGCTTTGTGGGATAGATTAACTAATCTCATGGAGGTGAGATTACTTGGAATTCCTCAATAAGGCTCATGTCGCTCAGGCTCTGACAACGTGCCAGGCACTGTTCCAGGCTCTGGGGACCCAGCAGAGATGAGGTGGGTGGGTCTTTTCCCTCCTAGTGCTGCCATTCAATGGGAGGGGACGACAACAAACAACGTAATACCTGAGAGTCCTTCAGACAGCGGTCAGAGCTGGAGGACAGTGTAACAGGACAATGGGACCAGCAGAAACTTCAGTGGGAGCGGCTGCTTTGGCTCAGGTGGCCAGGCAAGGCCTCTTTAAGGACATTTGAGCTGAGACCAACTGTTGGGGGGCAGCCAGGCAAAGATCTTTGAGAGAACGTTTCCAGGCAGAGGAACTAGCATATGCAAAGGCCCTGAGGTGGGCATGAGCTGGGCACAGTTAAGGAACATAAAGGCCAGTGGCTAGAGCAGAGAGTGTGGGGGAGAAGTGTTACAAAACGTGACAGGTGAGGTCTGAAGGGGGTCAGCTCCTAACTTTCTTTCTTGGTGGCCAATATGGCATCCCCTCTTCCACCAGATCTCAAAGTTTCCAAAAAGGCTGCAAGCAGAAGTTGTGGAAAATGGTGACAACTTTTCTGTAGGGGAGAGGCAGCTGCTCTGCATCGCTCGAGCCCTCCTTCGCAATTCCAAGGTGAGGCTGCCGCCAGAGGGCGGGACCGAAAGGCCTTGGGGAGTCACGGATGGCGCCCGGCTCGGGGCACCACGCTGGCTCTTTCTCCCTCTGTTGTGGCAGAAGTGTGGCCACATGCTCTTCCCTCAAAATCCAAAGAGCTCACTCCTTTCACTGAACGCCTTTCCACATGTATTTGTGGTGTGGGTGAGGCGTTGTAGGTGGAGAACCTCAGCCTGGGCTCCGTGAAACCCTGATATCCTACAGCTGAGCTGCAATGTTCCCCCACTGAAACCGCATTATGATGCTCTTTTCCTCAGGAGAAGGCAGGAGGCTAGAAACTTGTTACTCTAAAAATATCTTCTGTACATTTGTCTTAAAATTTCGATGCAGGATACTCTTCCAGTTTTTATTAGAGTTGGGAATCAGATGACAGTTCACTCAGAGAAAAATTACATACATTTTTAAAAGTTTAATGTAACCGTGTTTCTGGAAGTATTCCAGGTACTTTGTAATTTCTGGTGTGCTGGCTGCCTGAGCTAGTCCGAGCGAAGGTTCCATTTCACGGTGCGGCAACACACACACACACACGCAGACACACACACACACACGCAGACACACATATTTACACGTGCACCTCCTCCACACTCACATGCATGCGCACACACGTGCATACTCACACACACTCACACACACCATGATTAACTAGTTATAAATGCAAAAAGCGTTGGCGCCTACTGTCAGTGCTGGGGGGAAAGAGAAGGCGGGGCTCAGGGGGGCGTGCAGAAGGGGAGAAGTTTTCAGGGGCGGTAGGTCCTCCCTCCCTCGTTAAGCAAGAGGGACATCATGATTTGCAGTATGTATGTGGCACTTTCTCAGCTCCTCAGTTCCTCATGCACAGCCACTTAGCTGCTTGGTGCTGAAATTGCCTCCTCTATATATTGTTTCCCAAATTTGAATCTTCAGTGTATGATTTTTGTCGTATCTGTGTACCACCTATCCTACGATTTACTAATCAAAAAGTTCAGCTGCCATCAAGTAGGTTCTGACTCATGGAGACCCCATGTATGTCACAGTAGAACTGTGCTTCATAGAGTTTTCAATGGATGACTTTTCAGAAGTAGATTGCCGGGCCTTTCTTCTGAGGCTCCTCAGGGTGGTCTTGAACTTCCACCTTTTTGGTTAATAGCCAAGCACATAACTGTTCCCACCACCAGGAACTCCATGGTTTACTAATGACACTCCTTTTAAGAAACTGTCTCATCTCAAACAGTGACATTTGTGAAATCATAATTTATGTGCTAGCTGTATTTTTCTAATGCACATTATTAATGAAATACACACAAACAATGTTAAAAAGAATGTTTATCCATGTACTAGCTACAACTAGCTCACGTGAACCTAGGATGAGCACGTACTACCCTTTGGAGGCGTTTCTCTTGGTTCACTCAGGCAGGTAGGAGGGCAGTTAATAAAACAAGAAGTTGCCACTGGGACTTTTTGATTTCCAAGAACTTAGGTCTCTGTTCACTAAAATGTAGTTAGCTCTTGGTTGAAACCCTAACACTTTCTTTGTAATGTATGGATAATTAGAACTCTCAGTGGGTTTTGAATTCAGTCCAATTCTGCATTTCACAGCTAAGGAAACTGAGGCCCGGAGGGAGGAATTTATCTAAAGTCTCACAGTGAGTTGGTGGTAGAACCAGGACAAGGTCCAGGTCTCCAGGGACCAAGGTGGCCACTGTCACCCATGTTTTGTGTCCACCAGATCATCCTTATTGATGAAGCCACAGCCTCCATCGACCTGGAGACTGACACCCTGATTCAGCACGCCATCCGCGAGGCCTTCCGGGGCTGCACGGTGCTCGTCATTGCACACCGCATCACCACGGTCCTCAGCTGTGACCGCATCCTTGTCATGGGCAATGGGAAGGTGAGAGCTGCCACTCTGGGCTGGTGGGATGTGGGCGCATAGGCGCTGCCCCAGGAGGCCTTCTCATTCTTCAAGACCGAGTTCAGCTGTGTCCTGGTCCCCTCCCCTCCTTTCTCTGTCTCCTAGGTCGTGGAGTTTGACAAGCCTGAGGTCCTGCAGAAGAAGCCAGGGTCAGTGTTTGCAGCCCTCCTGGCCACAGGCAGCTGCTCGTTGAGCTACACAGAAGCAGAGACCGCATGAGGCTGATAGGGCTGCGCTCACAGGGGCTCCAAGGTGCAGCATGAGCCCTTCTTGTAAAGAGACGGCCAGTTCTCCGGCAAGTGGGGCTGAAATGTGGCAAAGTGTGCTGGTGACAGGAAGGAAAAGAGGACTGAGGGAGCAGAACTGGAACAGGCCACGCTGGGGCCACCAAAGCTAGCTTCCCAGCACTGTTTAAGATGATGGAGTCAAATAACTATGTGTCTCTTTTTAACTTCTATGCTGAATGATTTCAGGACAATGTAAAAGCTTAGTATTGTTTTCTGATGTCTGTTAAAAGTATTGCAAATGATGTACTCAGTTTGTCAAAAAACAAACCTAAGGAAAAGCCGCTCTCTTTGTAAAGCTCGCTGTGGTAGCTGGTACTTGTTCAAGTGCGAGGAGCAGAAACCGTCTCAAACCGACTTCTAGATAAAGGGACTTTATTGGCTCACGTGACTGAAAGGTCCTAAAATACTCTTGGTTGGGCGCCAGGATCAGAAGGATGTCTGCTTTGCTCAACATTGTGAAAATGTCGGTTCTACCCAAAGCGAGCTACAGATGCAATGCAATCCCGAGCCAAATTCCACTGGCGTTTTTTAATGCAATGGAGAAACAGATCACCAACTTCATATGGAAAGAGAAGAGGCCCCGAATAATTAAAAGCATTACTCAAGAAGAAGAACAAATGGGAGGCCTCACACTACCTGATTTCAGAACCTATTATACCGCCATGGTAGTCAGAACAGCGTGGTACTGGTACAACAACAGATACATAGACCAATGGAACAGAATTGAGAATCCAGTCGTAAATTCATCCATCTATGAGCAGCTGATATTTGACAAAGGCCCAAAGTCCGTTAACTGGGGAAAAGACAGTCTCTTTAACAAATGGTGCTGGCATAACTGGATATCCATCTGCAAAAAACTGAAACAAGACCGTACCTCACACCATGCACAAAAACTAACTCAAAATGGATCAAAGACTTAAATATAAAATCAAAAACGATAAAGATCATGGAAGAAAAAATAGGGACAACGCTAGGAGCCCTAATACAGGGCATAAACACAATATGAACCGTAAGTAACAAGGTACAAGCACCAGAAGGGAGACTAGATAAATGGGAGCTCCTAAAAATCAAACACTTATGCTCATCAAAAGACTTCACCAAAAGAGTAAAAAGACAACCTACAGACTGGGAAAAAAATCTTGGCTGTGACGAATCCAATCAGTGTCTAATCTCTGAAATCTACAAGATACTGCAAAACCTCAACGACAAAAAGGCAAATAACCCAATTAAAAAATGGGCAAAGGATATGAACTTCGCCAAAGAAGACATTCAGGCAACTAACAGACACATGAAGAAATGCTCACGATCATTAGTGATTAGAGAAATGCAGATCAAAACTACAATGAGATATCATCTCACCCCAACAAGGCTAGTAATAATCCAAAAAACACAAAGTAATAATTGCTGGAGAGGTTGTGGAGAGTCTGGTACACTTATACACTGTTGATGGGAACATAAAATGGTACAACCACTTTGGAAATCGATTTGGCACTTCCTTAAAAATCTAGAAGTAGAAGTACCAAACGCTTCAGCTATCCTGCTCCTTGAAATATATCCTACAGAAGTAAGAGCCATCACACGAATAGATATACGCACACCCATGTTCATAGCAGCACTGTTCACAATAGCAAAAAGATGGGAACAACCTAGGTGCCCATCAACAGACAAATGGATAAACAAATCATGGCATATCCACACAATGGAATACTACTCTACAATAAAGAACAACGATGAAGCCCTTAAACATAACATGGAGGAATCTGGAGGGCATTATGCTGAGTGAATTTAGTCAGTCATAGAAGGACAAATATTGTATAAGACCACTGTTATAAGAACTCAAGAAAAGGTTTAAACACAGAAGAAAACATTCTTTGATGGTTATGAGGGTGGGGAGGGAGAGTGAGGGTTATTTACTAACTAGATGGTAGACAAGAATTATCTTAGGTGAAGGGAAGGACTGCACACACTAAAGGCGAAGTCAGCACAACTGAACTAAATCAAAGCTAAGAAGTTTCCTGAATACAATCAAACACTTTGAGGGACAGAGTAGCAAGGGCAGGGATCTGGGGCCCATGCTTTCAGGGGACATCCAGGTCAATTGGCATAACAAAGCTTATTAAGAAAATGTTCTGCATCCTACTTTGGTGAGTGACGTCTGGGGTCTTAAAAGCTTGCAAGCGGCCATCTAAGAAACATCGATTGGTCCCAACCACTTGGAGTAAAGGAGAATGAAAAACACCAAAGACACAAGGAAAGTATTAGCCCAAGAGACAGAAAGGGCCCCATAAACCAGAGACTTCATCAGCCTGAGACCAGAAGAACTAGAAGATGCCCGGCTACCACCAATGACCATCCTACAGGGAACACAACAGAGAGTCCCAGATGGAGCAGGAGAAAGGTGGAGTGTGGAACTCAAATTCTAGGAAGAAGACCAGGCTTAATGGTCTGACTGAGACTGGAGGAACCCCGGAAAGCATGGCCCCTGGATTCTTTATCAGCCCAGAACTAAAACAATTTCTGAGGCCACCTCTTCAGACAGGGATTGGACTGGACTGTGGGACATAAAGTGATACTCGTGA